TTCAAATCAGTCAGTCAGTCAGACGCACATAAAGTTGTAGGTAAATATATATATATCGACTTGTATATACTCGTATATATCCACTTAACTGCCTGGGAACGGCAATGACGCTGATTTACGCGTTTTCCAACGATTTAAAAACGCAAAAAAAAATTAAAAATAAGTAGAAACTATGCAAAGCGTGTAAGCAGCAAATATTTATACGCAAAAAATGTACGTATATGTAAGCAATATAAGTGTGTATTATGCAACGTAGTACAAATCTTTGGGTGAGTAATAGAGCAAAAATTTTTAAATCAGTTAAACTCACAAGTAGAAACTTAAAAAAAAAAAATTTTTAATCAAATTCAATTTCTTATATTTTTTGATTTTTGCAAAAATAAATGCCCAAAACAATAACAATTTACTTTTAAGACCATTTACGTCAATGGCTAGGGTATTAGCATGCCGCGACAAACGTTCTTGATAAGCAAATTTACAATTGAAAGTTTGAAGAAAAACATAAGATAAGAATGTTATGAAAAAACAAAAATTAAAAGTAATACAGATACCACAAATAGCATTTTATTAGTATCATAAAACAATGCCATAAATATTCAATTATAATTAAGTAGTTATAAATTTGAAAAGAATTCCCAGCTATCGAAGGATTAAGTAAAGCATGTGTGAAGATTGTGCTTTGTACTTGGACTTTAGCTTAGGCTATAGTCTGCTTTAAATAAACCATAATTAAGCTACCATAGACTGATACACCACCTTCCTCTTCTTCTACTTGCCCCTCTAACTTCTATTGGTGTCTCATACGCTTTGTTTTTTGCCTATCATCCCGTCTACTACACAAGTCTAGGAGTGTTATAAAATGAAATTACATGCATTTAATAATTTACATGCTTCGGTGCCGCGCGATTTGTGGGTGCGAAAGTTAATGAGAAAGTTAAAAATAAAGCATGCACTTAAGTAAACCACTGGCGCTTTTTTAATTGTTGTCGTTGGCTTACACTTGCACTTGTTTTGCATTATAATTATATTTAATTGCTTTTATCATACCAGTTTTGTGTTTTTTTTTTGGTATACCATTTTTGTCATACCATTTTTGGCATACCATTTTTTTTCAAAGCATTTTTCATCCCATAAGTTTTTCTTTTGGCATGACGTAAATTTGCTAACAGTAATTAAATCAGATAATTTTGCCTTTACTTAATTTTATTTACGCATGTCAAGTCTCGTCAGGGCGTTGCTTATCGCAAATGAAAATCATTTTCTTAAGTGAATTGCAATTAGTATAATTGAATTAAACTATCTTTTATGTAAATAGCTAATGTTATGAAAGTGATTTGTGTAATGTGTAATTGTTGTGAGTGGTTGCACAATTTTAAATATTTTTTTATTGTTTTGCCATCTCGAATGTTCAAAGTGAGTATGAAGTATTCGAAAATTTCTTAACCTAACTTTCGTAAAAACCACTTAACACCCAAGGCGAGATTCTCTCTGCTCTTCTTATCTTCCATATGTGGCTGATTTTGGCAAGTAATGTAAATCGCATAGTCTTTGATTATTTCTCCCTACTTCCCCACCATTTCTTTTGTTTCCTCTTCTTCTTGTTACACATAAAACAACGCAACTGCGTTCACTGTTTACACAACCCAGTTCGACAACTGTTGTGCGCATACATACATACAATTCTTTACATTGTTTGCTATGTTTTTTAGCTTAAAATTTATTATTAACTTTTTTTACGCTTAAGATAAATATATTTCAATAATTAAGTGGCATTTAATATGGGAATATTACAGATAAAGGGGAGAAATATGAATTTACAGAAGAAGGTTTGTATGTGCGAAAATATTTTGTTATTATTTTATTTGTTCAGTTTTTTTTTTTTTTCACAGTGCTTACAGTTTAGTAACCTTTACATTTTTGAGATTTTTTTCTTTTTTAGTATGTTTATGCACATCTGTTAAGCCAATACTTCAACTTATCTGCACATAAACACCTTTTAGATGGTGAAAAAATGTTGTGTTAAAACCACATTTCACAAAAAAAGTCAATTAATATTTTTTTTAAATTTAATCAACATACCTCTGCGCACTTTGTTATTTTTTTTATCAACAAAAACTTTTTTTTAATTTAATGCCACACTAAGACCTTACTTTTGTACCTTCCACGCACTTTGATACGCTATTGTTAAATAAAGTTTTTAAAACTAAAATTTTTCTTCTAAACTTGTACTTTTCGACATCAACGTACCCAATTAAAAAAAAAAAATTATGGCAGTTTAATGCCATATATACAATATCTCACGCGGTGATTTGCCAAAATTTTATAGCTTTTGCAAAGAAAAAGCATTTGAAATCTTCTATTTAATTACAAATTCTGAAAAGTCAATATTTGTGCTCGAATTCGCTATATTTTTTATCTAACTGATCGCAGGTGCGGCCGTTTGATTAGATTACAAAAGAAAATTTTATTTTTTATTTTTTTTTTCAATTGAGTGGAAATAATGATTTGCAAAGTCAACATCGTTCTATGATAAAGATGAATTTGTTTTTTTTTTTTACATATGTATACATAGAATTTTATTGGTCAAAAAAGTATCTGCCGTCATAAACTCATAAAATCTGAAATATATTATTTCGTTTTTTGTTAACACATTTGCTTTGCAGATCACACAGAATTGTTTTTTTTTACTTTTATTTTATTTTATTTTATTTTATTTTATTTTATTTTATTTTATTTTATTTTATTTTATTTTATTTTATTTTATTTTATTTTATTTTATTTTATTTTTAATTTGATTTTTACCTTATATTTTTTATTTTATATTAATTTTTTTGAAATCTTTTTTGTTTTATTTACTCAAGTCGAATATTTTGTATTTCTTTCCTGCTTACTTGCATTTTCTATGGCATAATAATATTCAATATGATATAATATATGATCAGAGCCAAAGCTTCATGCCACTAAGCGGCGTATACAGTATGCACGGTTCAAAGTACCCGAAGAAAGAAAGAAATAAAACCAACTGTAAACTGGCATAAGCAAGGAATTAAAGTGGTGGATAAAATAAAAATAAATAAACAAATAAAAATAGAAAAATATTAATAGCAACTTCAGCGCAGCTTCACCAGTGGCGCTGAGCTCTTGCCCTGACAGTAGACAAACAAATACCGCAAACAACAACAATAATTTAGAGAAATGGAATTGGAAACTTGAGCTTCATTATTATTAAATATTAATACTAATTAAAGGGATATTAACGCAAATATACATATTTATACGCAGGCATATGTATGTAAGATCTTACATGTTTAAAAATCTTTTAACGCATAAAAGTGCCAACACCCCCCGACCCTATCACATTTTCTTGTATTATTGAGTTAAAAAAAAAATTACTATAGAAACACATAGCAAATCTGTTGCATGAAGTTCAACGACATATTGCAATCGCTAAGCCTCTTCTTCTTTCCTTGTGTTTGTGCTGCTTTGTGCTTTAAATTCACACACATGTATATTTATATGAATTAATTAAAAACCGCAGTTTTGTCGATTGATTGTAAATTCAAAAAGAAAAAATGCAAATCAAATGGAAAGTATTTGTACGCATTTCCCTTTCGTTTCGATATCTTAAAGGCGCGGTGCGAAATGCAAATGACAATAGACAAATTAGTAAAAGTCATCTATGAATGAATTTATGGCATTTCGAAACTCATTATCGAGCTTTTACTTTCTCAAATGATAAAATTTATGCTGAGGGTCGGAATTTGTATTAAAGAATTTTTATTTCATTTTATCAACTTTGCCTGTAAAAATTATTTTAATTTTTATTTATGCATTAAGAGCTTCTCCGAGGCGGATATTTTTCTATTCTTCTAGTCCGATTTCTAACCGAGTCATCCACAAATTCTCCTTTGTATTAAGAGTCGCTCCACAGTTTCCGGTTCAAAAGATGACCCTTTTTGAGCATCAAACGCTAAGAATTGCAGCACATTCTGTATCAGATATCTAAGGTTCAGTAGAGATATCAAATATTCACTACATATGCTGATCTTCTCATCTCTCAACAAAAAAAATAAACCAAAAATAATAATTTCGGCGAAGTATTTGACTCATTACTGAGGCAGTTAGCTCATTTTACAATTATTTATCGAAATTTTTAATTTAAAAAGTAAATAAGACGACGCTGGTGTCTAACGCTTTTGCCATATCACGTGGTTCCATTTCAAAATGTCATGATATTCCATTTTTCAATACATATATATTGTATATGAATACCCCTTACGCCACACACCCGAGTACAAATAAAAGACTCCATCCACAGCCTGCTTTCGTTTGCCTTAGCGCCTCGCGCTATCAACTTAGCAAATTTTCGAGTGCTCAATTAAACTCATTCTCATTATTATTTATTTGATTTTCGAATTGTTTGCTCATTTAACAACATTAATGTGACACTAACCAATGTGTTGTTGTGCTATTTCCAATTTGCATGTTTTTTCGGTTATTCATTATTTATACGGTAAGCCCCTTCTTATTTGCTCTACTTGTTGAAACTTACTTATTTTGTAATTGTTTGCCGCTAATGAGCTGAAAATTTGCATTGAATATTTTTTTTAAATAAACAAAATACCACGAAAAACTTTTTCCAATATTTGTTCTACTTATTGTTGGCTTTTTTGTTTTTTTTAATGTGTGACCTAAAGCGGTTCAGAGTGGTTAAAATACAAAGGAAAGTGTTTTAAGGGAAAGATTCATGAAATATATGAAACTAAGTGACTGTTTGAGTAATTTTTTATTATGCATTATTATATTTTATTTAATTTTATTTTATTGTATCTTTATTTATTTATTTTATTTTACTTTATTTTATTTTATTTTATTTTATTTTATTTTATTTTATTTTATTTTATTTTATTTTATTTTATTTTATTTTATTTTATTTTATTTTATTTTATTTTATTTTATTTTGTCTTATGTGTTTTATTCTATCTCTATTAAAAACTTACCGTTTTCTCTTTCAAACGAAATCTAGTATTATCCAAATATATCCGCTTCTCCCCAGATTTTACTCAATTAGTGTTTTCTTCGTTAAGTTCTTCCACGCGCGCAATTTCACACTGTAATTAAAATTTTGAATAGTTTAACGTTTTTTTGTGTCTGATTTTTGTATGAATAAATCCTTAACTAAAGAAGAGAAAAACATGAGAAGCAAGAGAAGAAAGTCTACGGGATATTACATTAGTTCTTTTATTCATTTTTTTTTTCGATATTATGCACAAAAAATATAACATAATTAAAGCAGCAAACAATCACAAAAATAAAATAAAAAATATAGTGGAATACCAAATCAACACCAACAATTGACAACACAAATGGGTTCGAAGAAGAGCAAAGGAAAAAATTAATAAAAAATAACAGCACAAAACAGAAAATGAGAAGACACGAATGCCAAACAGAATTTAACTGTTAGCGGAAGTTAAGTTGATTGCAAAAGGAAGGCGAAGTAATAACAGTTTTTAAATATGAAAACCAACACAAACACACTAGAAAAAACTACTATCTTAATGAAAAACGTGTGAGCCAAGCAATTAAGAAAAAGTTAATGAAAAATATTGTAGAAAAGTATAAAATTAGCAACACTAGCGTAGATACTACTCATGCAATGCGAAAAAAAAAACAAAATTTATTTTAATAAATAATTTTAAATAAATAAGAGATTAAGACCAAGGCAGCTAGGAAAGCTAATCTTTAGAGTAAATAACAATCTATAATTAATGCAGAACACCAGATTTATTTTCACCTTGGATTCAAGGTCACACTTTATGCTGTTCTCATCCTGCGCTCAGGCAGAGATTTTCGAGCACAAAAGTTTTGATCAAGGATTCAAGTTTGGTATTCAAAAGCTCATGTCCAAGCACACCAGTAAGCTTTGAAATACTCTTTCTCAGTCAGTTAACTCTTACCTGCCTATTGGTTCTAAGTTTGAGCAGCTTCTCAGTTCAAAAAAAAAGTTGAATATACCAATAGAAGAAGTGTTCTTAGGAAGAATTATTATAATACCTTAAAAGAGTATTGAACAAGCAAAGCTTATTTAACATTTTTAATAAAATTTACAACCCCTCTGGTGTTTGCGAGACAAAGAGCACTTCAATATTGCGAATTATCAACGAAAAACAATGATTAAATGATGAAATTGCAACTTAATTGGAGCAGATAGTTTAAATAAAATAAACTTAAGCAAAAAAGAATAAAATAATATAGAAAATGAAATTGAAGTAAATTAAATAAATTAATTTAAAATAAAATCACATGAAATCAAATAAAATACGATAAAATAAATAAAGTAAAATAGAATAAAATTAAATTGAATAAAATAAAATAAATGAAATAAAATAAAATTAAATAAAATAAAATTAAATAAATTAAGATAATATAAATTAGAACAATGAAAAAATTAATTGAAATATTATAATTCAAAAATAAATTAAATCGAATTATGTAAGCAAAAATAAAACGAAATGAAATAAAAAAAATAAATAAGCAAACTCAATACAAAATAAAATAAAAAAATTTAAATTGAATAAAATAAATTAAATTAATAAATAAAATGAAATATATTAATTAGCATAAAAAATAAACAAAAAAAAGTAAAATAAATTAACTTAAATAAATTAACATAAAAAATGCACAAAAATTAAGTAAAATAAAATAAAACAATATTAGTAAAAATAAATAAAATGAAAAGAAGAAAATTATAACAAACCAAACTATAATTAATTTAAAATAAATGAACTAAAATAATATAAAACAAAATAAATCAAAATAAGCTTAGGAAAAGGGGCATAATAGACAAATTATTTTAAATAAAATATAATAATTTAAAAATTAGATAATATAAAATACAGTAATAAAATTAATTAAAATAAACTAAATAATAATGAATAAAATGAATTAATTCAAATTACAATATATTTTATTTAATAAAAATTATTAAAGTAAATAAAGCCAAATAAAAGAAAAGAAAGCAAAATCAAATGAAATAAAATTGAATATATTACATATTAAATGAAAAATGAATAAAATAAAATAAAATGGCATAAACTGAAATAAACTTAATTAAAAAAAATTATTTATTTTATTCTTAAATTAAGTAATCAAAAAAACACAAAATTAATATAAAACTAAAAAAATAAGTTTAAAAATAATAAAATAAAAAAAAATTAAATTGAGTTCAATTAAATAAAAAACAAACTTAAATAAAGTAAAATAATAAAATTATAAAATTAAATTAATCAAAGTAAATAATAATTATTAATAATAAATAAAACAAAAGTATAGTAAAATGAATTAAAAATAATTTAAGAATTACAAAAATTTAATTTAAAATAATTTAAAATAAAAATTATATTAAAGAATATATTTAATGAACAAAATTATAGTTAAATAAATAGAGTAAAATAAATTAAACGAAAACCCAAGAAACTAAAAAAAAAATTAATGGAAATGAAATGCAACAAAAAAAATTAACGAAAATATTGCGTGCAAAACATAAATATGGCTAAAAATGAATACAATGTATACAATGCAAGGAAATAAAGATAGACAAGTAGTCAAATGGCGCTCGCGTGCCAACAGGACGTATGAGTGACATGCAGAAAAGAAACAAGAGAGAATAACTGAAGACAATGCTTGACAGTCAGACAGGCAAGTTGCGTGGGTGGGCCGTATGATTGTGCATAGCGGGCGCGCAAGCTTAAACGTGGGTGGTTGGGTGGACCTGGCGCGGTTGCTTGGCGCTTTGTTTGCTGTTTCTTGTTTATTTTGGTTTTTTTTTTTGCTGCTATGACAAGCTTTGTGAAAAGCGGCGTATGAAATTATTACTATCACTATATGATTTTTACAAATATATGTATATGTATACTATTCGCTTTGCATTAGATGGATGTGTTAATATTTAGACATATTTTTTCAATTCATTATTATTATCACATTTCAATTTTGGAGTGTGTATAATATACATATTTATATTTTTAATGATTATTATTATATGATTGACACATGACATGACAGACGTGTAGCAAGCTAAAAAAGCTTATTCTATTTCATTTAATAAATACGCATAAATTGATTTTCACTAACATCTTTCCGTTGTTATACTTCAGGTATGTATATTAAGGGTGTGTGTTTGGACGTAGCAACGGGCACTCAAGGTAACGAGAAAGTAAATAAATTTTAAAGAAATGCACTGTTTATTTTTTTTTTATCAGCTAAATTCTTCAATATTGCGTTTGGCTGAAAATTGTTTTTCTTGATTAATTTTTTTTTATTAATTTTTCTTTTTTTTTTGTATTTTTTTGGACTTTTTTCTGCAAGTCGTTTATTCACTTTTTAGCTTTTGATATTTCCGTTAATTTGTTCAACAATTCTTCTTCGTCGTCTTGCACTCACGTCGTAAAATTTTTGACAAGCGTCGCGTTGCACAGCTGAGAGTTAACTGAAATTTTGTTAGACGAAAAAAACTGGTTAGACTAACTAACTGTGTTGTGCTCGCTAACTCGCAACGGAAAGTAACGAAAAAAGATACAAAAACCAACACAAAAACAGCAACGACTAAAAGGTCTCTTTGAAAATTTCGCATATTCGAACGCAGACACACACGAATACGTGTAATAAAGAGCGAGAGTCATATCGTATATATAGACAGAGAGAGTGCAGAGCTTAAATGAAGGAAATAATCTTACATGTATAAGTGAGTAAAGACGCTCATATGAGTGTGTTTATATGTATGTACGGTATTTTGTAGTTGTTAGCGCCTTTTGCCTGTGGCTGAAATGTTGTACATATATATGTATGTGCAAATATTGGTATGTTTGTATGTGTATGCGCCAGTGTTAGGCGATAACAACATTTGAGCACTTGACGATCAACTACAGCAATAACAATAAAAAGCTTAGGTGCTATATGATAGAAGAAGCGAAAACGCATAAGCACACACACACGCACATACATTCATACAAACATACATATGTATGTTTAAATACTCAAGCTCCAAAGCTATGCGAGAAAACCTTTGCTTTTGCTTGGCTAGCATTGGCAAAACGGCTCTGGAACGATATGTCACCGTACGATAACAATACCTATAAGGTTAAATACATATATAATATATATATCTACATTTATACATACATGCATGCATACATGGCTAAACACACGTAATAGTTTAACATGTGATTTTTTTTCTTTTATAATATTTTCTGTTACTTTGATTCGTGGTGGTAAGGAAAAGGCCAAGACGCTCAGCGGTAGACCACAAAATACATATTTAATAGATAATTGCATAAATATATTCATGTACATATTCAAGTTAAAGTGATTGTATATAAATAGCATCAATATCGCTGGTATCAGTCGTCCTCTGTCGAAAGGTGCTGAGCAGCATTGCTAAAGAAGGGGAAAGGCATCATAATGGTGGATTCTAGACTCTAAATGGTTGGCCTACCATAATCTCGAAATCCGATCTTATCGAATAGAACAAGTTTTGTTCTCTCTGTTCTGATTTGTAACTAAAAAAAATTCGGTTCTCCCTTAATTTTTTTCATCCTTAGACAGTAAAATTTGCTGGGCACAGCTGTAGAGCTTTTTTTTACTTAATATCATCGAACACGCAGTAGATAGATCTCCCAACCCTGTGAAAAGTAGACTCAACTCTCGAGGAATAAAGAAAAGCCACTGCTTTTATAGTACGGAGGTATGTCTGCTGGTAAGATGCGATAAGTCGATTTTGGTAGTCTTTAAAATAAAGGTTTTGCTTCAGATTTAGAATCATCCACGCATAGATGATAGCGAATACCACAGACGATGTCAAGGTGAGCTGTGTAAGATGTAAAGAGAGTAGTCACGCTGGCTAGATCATGTGGTCCGAAAGACTGAAAACACTGCAACTTTGGAAATGATCTTTGCAGTACCAGTAGCTGGTGAAAGTAGAAAGGGAAAGGGAGAACCTCTACTCCGTTGAGAGGATCAGTTGGATAGGTACTTGGCTTCGCTTAATATCTTCAATTGACAAGCGCTACCTTTGCTACTTAAAAGGGAAAATTATCACATTATGATTATTATTTTTAGGTCACTCTCCTTTTGGTTCCGCCATCTTAGCGTAGAAATGCAGGGTATTTCAAAGCGGAGCAGCGGTTTTATTTAAAATACCCAAAAAAGCAAAGACGTACGTCTCTAAGGTATTTGAATATTACTTCAGTTGTGCGAGTTTTGAGTTGGTAACATAAGCTGCTCAGTCATTTCATTCATTTTTGATGGTAGATTGGTCTTAAAAAAATCAAATCAATGTTGGTGGTGCTGACTAATCTAGACTACAGTACGAAGTATCAGTGCTATGTCAACATATGCGTAGTGTAGTATTCCACCCCTGAATTTTTTGATATTCTACTCCTTTTTACGTCTGTTTTTCGGAGTGCCAACATCCACGACGAATTTTCCAAGCTATGTCATCTTATTTATTCCTATTTTTCACATTTTCTTCACATTCAATGGCAACAGAATTTCCACGTGATCATTTTCATTTACTCAAAAGTTATCGATTATTACTATTTCGCCGACTATTATATTAATGTGTTCACACTACACACCCGCTTTGATAGTTTTCAACAATTTCGCCTATAACTGTTAACACTTTTTTTTGCATCTCTCTATTAGTTTATTATGTATGAATTATATATGTACATATAGATATGTAAGTATATATATTTATATATTCGTCTTTATGCCTCATATTCGCTGCCTAATTTACACGTTATTGCTAATATATTTGCTGTTGTTATTTATTTTCTACACTCTCTTTCTTTGCTTTCAATATAAAAGTATTATTGTTGTCATACCGATAACACATTAGTTCATAACTGTTGTCTCTTTTAATTATTATTATTTTTTTTGCCAATTTCACAGCGTAATGTTATTGCTAATGAATATTTGTTGAGAAAAAAAAACAACACCATCTCTCTTCCCCCTTCCATTCAACATGAGTACTTAGTACTCATAACTGTCAACTTGATTCTCGCATTCCCAGTTGTCACCAATGACTCGCCAAATTCTTTTCCTTACTACTCAATCTCACACAGATTCACAGATGGGTTTTCGTATCAATCATTCTAACAGTAGAATTAACGCTTAGCAAAGAACTGACTGAAGAACGTGTGTTAAATGGCATACAAAAGTGTATGCATGTGAACAGTTAGACTGTTTATTCCACTTCTGATTGTGTTGTGTAAAGTTTTAATACTAAAGTAGATAGAATTTAAAAGAATAAGAATTTACTATGCGAGCACAGGCAAAAAAATCTTCGTACAAGTTTAATTCGTATCTGTTTCTGCTTCTTATTCTTCTTAATTAATATAGGAACCACTTAATATAGCTGATATAATAACAGCGTGTCAGTCTCTTTTCGCCCTTCTGAGTCAATTGGAAATACCAAGCGAAGCCGGGTCCTTCTCCATCTAAACTTTATCTTGCTAATTTAGGTCTCGAGCGACTTGCAAACCATGAAGTTTGTTTGTTATAAAGCATCTTTTGTTTTCCTTTTCACTATTCAGTTCCAAGTAGCACCAGCATCAGATTTCGAGGTTAGCATTGGTGTTATCGCTGGATCCTAAGGATGCGAAGTTATGTAGAACTTAAAAGTGTTTCGTCTTATCCTCGTTTACTACCAAACCCTTTCGCTTCACGGAGAGGTTCTTCCTTATTTTAATGAAGCAACTGGTAGTGTTAAACATCATTTTAAAAAATCTTTTCTCCTAAGCTCTTTTCTTGGCGCATGGAGCATTGGAAAATTCATCAAGCTACAGTTTTGTTCCCGGTTAGGAAAACTCAGAACTAAAAGAACATGTTCTAAAAGTCAGAGGATGGATGGATATTCTAACAACAACTCAGAGTACTCGCATCTAAGAGACGCATCCTCCTATTTTCAGGAAAGTACCGCTGTGAAGAAAGAAAAAAGTTTGTTGCCGAGAAAGTCGTCAACCATCTAGGTATAGGAATACTCCGGAACGATCTCCCAGCCTCATTACGTGTTACTCCGAGAGAAGGTAGCGATTTTTGGCAACGTCAGAAGCAGAGTTTGTGAAATGAAGATTGTCTTAATGGAGTAAAAAATAATAAGGCGTTCGAAGGATCACTGTTATGTCTAAAGTTAATGTCAAATTTATTTAAATTAATTTTTCTTGTGTTAATTAAATGAGAAAAAATTTAAAAAATTGAAATAAAATTCAGGCTCTGTTGAGCCTAATTACTTCCTACTTCATTAATTAACATCAAAAACTTTAACTTTTTTTCGCTAAATCAAAACAACAAATGCAGTAGTTTTATAAATGCATAATATTTATTTAAAAAAAAAGTTTAAAACGTATAAATTATTAAAAATTATTGATTACATGCTAAAAACAATTGAATCCCCATTAATAGCACAAAATACATGCACATATACATACACACATATGTATATGTAAGAGAGCCTATCGAAATTAACGAATTATGCTTAACAAAAAAAAAATTTTAAACCGAATTTACAGTTCTATTATTGCTTGTAAAATCGCTTATTTACATATGTATGTGTAAGAACAATGTCACTTCAACGATTACGATTTATGAGTACTAATAAATTGTAAAAAAAAAAAATTATTTATGAACGAAACTTAAAAATTAAAAAAAAACGCGCTCGTAACACAAAAACTATTTTTTTAGCTATAAAACAAACAAACGCGCACTTGAACTTCAAATAGAGTTAAAAAAATAAAACAAAATACATATGAACAAGTAACTGCACTTGAACTACACAATAAAACACAAGTCAAGTGCAATAATAACAAAAAAACACTTAAGAAAAATATTTACTTAAGGCATTTTAGCTTAATTTTTTTTTTTTTTTGTATAGTTGTTTTTTTATTATAGCTATATTTTTCCAACACTTTATTAATTATCTTTAAAAAAAACAACTCTTCTGACGCTTTTGAATTAATAAGAACATCAAATTCTTACTTAATTTGAAAGCGAAAGGTCACAACACATTCTCATTTTAAATTAAACATTTAGTATATAAAAATATGTATATGTTTGTTTATAAGTACATATGTATGTATGTATGTATTCAAAGACCTCTACATGTCACTATAGACTTTGTCAAATTACTGTACACTAATTTGATTGGAACTAATTTGATTTGAATGCCAATTGGCTTTGGGTACGCATCAATGATTTTTTTCTTTACAATTATTCAAACCGAAATCTAAATGCGCAGTTACATATACATATATGACTAATAAGATAATAAATAAAACGGAACTAAATAATTTTGCTAAAAAAAACATACTCAATAAATCAAAATTAAAATTTTTACTACACATTTTAATGTCAGTTGTAGGCAAAACAACATAAGTAAACTTTTTGTGTTTTCAATATAATTTTCAAATTGCAATAAAATGCTTGTAATTTTAATAAATAATTTATATACTCGTATATATATGCACACATTTCAGCGACCACTTGTGCTTAATAGATTAACATTTTGTCAATTCACGCACACACACACACACAGATATTAACATATATAAAAGAAATTTTTACCGCAACGAAAGTGAAATTCTCTTGTAACTTGTAACTTCATACGTGTGTATGTAGGTATGCACCTTAACCAAAAATAAATTTATAAACACAAAGCCTTTTCCAAGTTCCAACAGCGGCATAACGCCGCGTTTAACTGTTTAATACATACATATGTATAGTATGTATAAATGCATATAATATGAACTTTAAGCATGTCCACAAATTTTTACACTTATGTATGTATTTACATATATATATTTATACACACATATGTATGTGTTGTGTTTGGCACCTCCGGTCATCCGGTACATCAAAAGACACAAAATCGAACTTTCTTCGAATAAAATTGTAAAATAAAAAAGGGAAATGCGTTTTAATTCTTTTTTTTTTAATTTCTTGTTTTCATTTTTTCTTGCCGTGCTTTTTATTTGCGCTGTCACTGCTAGTTTTATTCAACTAAGTTTTTTATTATTATTTTTTTTTTTTTTTGTTGAGTTTGTGTTGTTGCAACACGTTTTTGCTTTATTAAATAAGTCTATATTATAGAAAAAAAAAAGTTAAAAAAAAAAATTAATTTCCCATTTGAATTCCAATACCGACTTTCCGATTCCCTGAACTTAATTTGCATAATAAATTCAAATTTTTTAACAACTTAAAGCAAATTCAATTATGTTTGCATGTATGTGTGTGTACACAACTATATGAGTTTATATGCAACCATGAGCATTTGGAATGGCGTTAGAGACGTTCAATGTATATTTTAAAAGCTTGACGCTTGTCTTGACGTTGTCGTTGGCATCATGCAAGCGATTGAATATGAAAATTATTGTAATTTTATTTATTTATAGTTTTAATAATAGTATAATATATACATTATTTAATTTTTTATTTGTCAAATATTTATTATAATTACTCGTATGTCTTCTTTTTTCTATTCACATGCACAGAAGTTTTCTAGGTTAACATTTTATTTAGTTTCAGTTTACGCGCACAACGCAAATTAAAAAATTAAACGATTAATATTTTTATACTTATGTACATACATAGTATATGCATATACAACATAATATTTTTACTAACCCGCTAGCAAAACTAACTGCTTTCTTTAAATCGTTTCGCCTTACATACATACATGCACACAAACTCGTATAGGTATACTGTATTGTAGCTTCTAACTATTGTCTCTAATTATCTGTTACTTTATTCGTAAATTGACGTCTGCGCAATCGCGTCCGTTTCGTTTCGTTTTAACCGTGCGCTTCAACGTTACAAATTGAACTCCGGCCAGGCATACACGCGCCAAAGCCAACCAGTCAGCCACTCGGCTACATAGGTGAGGGCAAGCAAAAAGCCCCCTCAAATCAACACAAACAACTAGCCAGTCAGTTAACCACCACCTCAGTACACTTCGCTTACAGAAACAAGTTGTAGCCGGCAAGAAAGATCAGCAGCGTAATGCATAAAGCACCCACAAAAAATGTTGTGAACGTAAAGCGTAGAAAATTTTAACCAACAACAACAAGTACAAGAATTAACACTCGCAAAAACGAGTTGTGAAGGAAAGCGCACTTTTGAGCGGTTGTTTTTGATTTTGAACACGCATTCACATTTGAACTTTTATTTAACACTGTTGTACTCTATTGGAGAATTGTTGCTATTGGATTAATTATTTTTTTATATTTATTAAAACACTTTTTACGCAATTTCATAATAAATGAAAATAAAGTTCCGTTTCCGTTGCAGTTGGTTATGATAAATCAGTTGCAAACATCGATAGTAATCGATAATTTATGTGAATAGTTGATTCTAGTACTTTGGAACTAGAATTATTGTAAAGATATCCAGAGGCAAAAATGCGCACAATTTTTTTATTGTGATTTATACGGTATTTCCACGACAGCCCAATTACGTGTTTCGCGCTCTCAATTACGAATGCGAATTACCCCCATTCACACGGAACGCAGTTCGACAGTTCTCGGTTTCGCTTGTTTGTTCCATTTGAAAATATATGAAAAAAAATTTTTTTATTAGAAGTTAACAAAATTTTGTATTGAATTGGTATTATTGTGGTATTAATGGAATTACATTCCAGTTTTTCATTGATTTCTAATATTTTCTTCTTTAATATACAAATAGTCTTTGGTTTCAAATCAATGTTTGTGTGTTAGTGTCCTCTTTTATGATTCTCCCCTCTTTTGTTTTGATTTGTCAGCTGGTTTCGATAAAATTTCGATTAGAATTTTAGAGAAAGTATCGATTTGGTCGTAATTCGCATGGCAATTGAGAACGATTTACCCACTTTTACTGTAATTCGATCACGAAAATTTGTATGTCGATTTAAATAATTAGTCCCAAATACATGGATGCGAATTACAATTGAGAGAGCGAAACACGTAATTGGGCTGTTGTGGAACTGCCGTATTAGTTTATTTTCTTCACTGGTTAGTAGCACGGCCAAGAGAATGACCAAATGGGTGGGGAAGTTTATTTAATACTGCGTTACGATCCTCCAAATTTTTCTTTAGATGACGCAATTATCAATCTTACTAAATAATATTTTTTATTTTAAGTCGCATGATGTATTACTTACTATGTAAATAAATTTTAATATATTATTAATTATTATTAGCTCAAAATAAAATATAAGTGAAAAACAAAACTGGAACGGCTGAGGTGGATGTTCCAAAATATTTCACGTTGTATTGCAAGAAGTGAGGGAGGATCTCAAGAAGGCCTTAAATATGACATAGCGGACAATCTCTAATTAATCTGATTTCGATTAATAATTTTAGAACGCTATTTGTACGAATTTCTAAATATCGACAATATTGCAGAACATCTCTTTTATTCCGACCCGGAAACCCAAATCGATACAAAAAAATGGCAACGCTATATTTATAATCTATTACAATTCACAAACAGCTGATTATCAAGTTGTCGCTGTCAATTTTCTCATTGTTGTTTCTTTAGAATCGAACGAAATTTTCTTGTGTTTTGCAAAAAAAATTTAGCTAAAAACAAGACATGGCCGGACGTGAAGCCGTAAGAAAAGCTGTGCAGCAAGTGCGTCCCATCTTATCGGTAGATCGTGAAGAAGCACGTAAACGTGCACTTAATCTTTACAAAGCTTGGTATCGGCAAATTCCCTACATTGGTAAGTTTGCATGGAGCTTGTCACAATGTTTGTTATGTCATCGACCACCAGCGCAAGCGGCCGATTCGATGCTGTGGGCATTGTGACCCATCGCATAAATAAATAATATTCGTATTTTTTTGCATATTGATAGGAGTTAAAAATACACTCTCATATTCTTTTCTCTTTGCAGTTATGGACTATGACATACCTAAAACGGTGGAACAATGTCGTGCTAAGCTACGTGAAGAATTTGAGAAGCATCGTAATGTGTCTGATGTGCGTGTGATTGATATGCTGGTCATAAAGGTAAGCGTTGAATTGGATCGCATGGTTAGTGATTGTATAGCCATTAAATGATGCTATTATGCATATTTGTAGATCGCAGTATATTTTCATTGATACCTCAATGATTGGCAACCGTGCCAATAGAACTAATGTTTTTAATTAAGTTATTTATTCGCAATTTCAGAAGTCAATATCAAACCATTAGCAATATACATATATGTGTATATGAAATATAATGGCTGGATATTTCATTTATAACGTCCTATAAACAGAAAAAATTAGTGCTCAAATCCACTTAGCATTTTATCATTGAATATATATCTATAAAAAAATTTATTTTTATGTACACACATGTATTTTATTTTTCTTTTGCTTTTTCTGCTTTTTTTTTATTAATTTCAGTGAATTTAATGTTGTTATGAATCGTAAATTTCAAAAATCAAATTTATTGTCCAACTTTGCTAAAACTCGTTGTTTATTTAAGGGTGGCAACTTGGAAATTGCGTACTCTCATAAAAGCTGAAAATAGTATTTTTTAGAATTGGCAATGCCTCCCAATATGCGTTCTCTTTTTTTGGCGAGAATGAGCCCTCTTCTTACTTGCTATGAGTATGCTATTTAGCTAACGTTTGAAATATAGCTGCGGTGTCCGAGTGGTTAAGGAGATGGACTTGAAATCCATTGGGTTCTACCCGCACAGGTTCGAATCCTGTCCGCAGCGATTGGAATTTTTTTTATTTTTCCTTATTCACACTTTCATAAAAAAAAGATACTATTTTAAAGCCTCTTTATTTTTAAATTTAAATTAAATTAAATAATTATATTTCAGGGTCAAATGGAATTGAAGGAGAGCGTAGAAATCTGGAAGCAAAAGGGTCACATAATGCGTTACTGGAAGGAGAGTCAAGAACCAAAACCAACAGATTTCTTGTCGAAGTTTATACAAGGCGTTAATTAAATAATTGTTTTAAATGTATAAAAAATTTAAAGTTATATTGCTATCATTTTACATAAAACCAGCAAATAAATAAATTAACAAGATGAAAATTAATTAATCACTTATATAATTTATTGAGAATTTTCAGAAATGTAACAAAAAAAACAAAAATTTATTTCTATTAATTAAAAAAACACAATATTTGTACATTGGTATGTACGAATTTATAAAGCCAAATAAACGAAGTACACCGCAATTCGCACGTTTTTTACAGCAATATAGCAATCACCAAATGAGATCATATGTGCCTGTAAAAAGAACAATTTAATATTTTATTGAATAAAACATACAATTTTGTTAATCTAACCAAAACCAGACGGACTAAATCGAGAAAACATATCATAGGCCATATGGATGGCTTCATCATCAAAATCATCCATATCCGAATCAAAAAAATCAAAATCATCGTCTTCATCGGTAAAATAATCATCTTCATCTTCATCTTCATCTTCGTCCGCATCTAAATCAATGTCTTCAAAAACATCCACTGTTGATTCATCTAACACAATAAGTGATGTTTTCACCGCTTCCTTAAACGGCTGAGACTGATTCGTAGTAATTAAATTTGATTAAATACATATATGTACGTATGTAGTTATATTTCGTAATCCACAATTCGTGTTTCGTCTAATTTGTTTCCTAATGTGTTAAGGTTTATTTTAAGAAAGAAATATGATCGAGAGTAACTGTGTATCTTCTTCTATTTGACAAACAGTCTCTCTTGTCCTCACAAAAACCAGCTGATTAAAATTAGAAAAAAAAATATTAAAATTAAAAAAAAATATTAAAATTAAAAAAAAAATATTAAAATTAAAAAAAAAAAAATATTTTAATTAAAAAAAAATATTAAAATTAAAAAAAAAAATATATTTAACCAAAAAAATAATTAACTAATCGAACAAAAACCCACATTTATATCTTACAGGGGGAAGCAATATTATTCTAACAAAAGAAAAACATTTTTACAACGACACATCAAAACAATTAAGACGAATAACACGATTTGTGAACATCATACTAATAGTAATAGTAATGAAAATGATAGCCATTCAGTACTCACCTCAGACAATGTATATGTTTGAATAGATGTGTTATAAACGTAAAGAATTAATGGTAATTCACGATCCCTATTTTTCTGGAGAAATTCAATAGCGTCGTTGACGAGCTTTTCTGTAATTCGTTTGCAGGATTGAACGTTTATAGTTCGGAGTTTCGTGCATTTTTTTAACATTGTCATTACTCCACTGTCGGTCACGTTACACCCTCTGACGGTCAACTCTTCCAGTTGTTCCAACTTAGAGAATTTAAGTAGCGCGGAATCATCGATAAAGTTGGAGCGGGTTATATGGAGCGTTCTTAAATGTTTCAATTCAGAAATTGAATTGATTTGCTGGTCCGATAAAGCTGCATTAGAAAGTTTTAAGACCTCCAATTGATCTCTCTTATGAGTTACTAATGATGACATTAATTGATCCTGATTCAAAGGCGATTGTATTCGGCACAACAATTCGAGATGTTTTAATTGTGGCAACAATGATATTTGTTCATAAAACACATCTGGTGCTGACATCTTCAGAACTTCGAGGTTTTTGGAATTAGTGGACAAAGCAGCGACAAATTGTGAGTTTACCCGTTGATAACGCCTTATATCGAGTGAACTTAATTTGGTTAATGCAATACAGATTTCTTGGAGAGTAATTAAATTAATATTATTACAACCATTTATACTTAATTCTTCTATCTGCAACATTTCTTTTATATATTTTCCTGCAGAAATTAAGAACATAATGAAAGAAGAACTAAATCATTAATATTTAACATATTACAAACTGTATGTTTACCTGTTATTTCGTAATTACCAAGGATATTCACCGACCTTAAATTCTTACAGTTTTTCAACTGACGTAGTGCTTCATCACTCACACCACAACCACTTAAGCTGAACTCACGCAATTGAGGAAAGCTGCTTACGAATTTTTTTATATCACCCGTACGCAATTTAGTATTGTCAAATGCGATTCGCTGCAAATTCGGACACGATGTACAAATAAATTCGAGTACACGATCTTTTTTTTGATATGGTATATTTCCTCTTAAATACAAAATATTTTTACCAGCCAGTCGAAGGAAGTCACGTTTTTCCCATAATGTCAACCTAGATAAATTATCCAGATGAAGCGTTTTAAATTCACGTTTGCAAATATTTTCAAAAATATCTTGAAATCGTCGGCATACACGCGCAAATCGCATTTGATCACTTAGCATCAACAAATTACAAATCATTTCCAAGCAATCATCATTCATTGAAAGCATATGAAAGCCAGGAGGAATGTTGATACTATCGTTGTTCATTTGTACTGTGCTCCCTGCTTTGTCTGCTTCGGGCTGATTCCAGCTATCGCTAGCTTTAACAGAAACACGTAAATTATTCACAAAATGATGAGGTTTCTGCAACACACTAAGAGAGATAATGGTTAGTATGAATTGAATGATATATTTTAGTAATTTTTTAGTTTTACTTGCAAGCATGTTCTGGTTTGGCATAATTAACAAATGCCACCTTGGGAACACCACGACGCGCTCGCTTTTTATCTTGCACCACTCGAACGTAGAGTAAAGGACCAAATTTATGAAAGTAATTGCGGATGCTCTCTTGTGTAACCTAAAGGAAGAAATTTTTTCCCAAAACAAATATATGTGCACTTTCTTATGTTTAATTAGTAATAAATACGAATATTTACCTTGTTGGGAATCTTATATACAAAAATGTTTTGTACCAAAACATTGTCTTCGGTATAGGCTTTGTTATCTCTGACATAGAAATTCCGATTTCCTTCTATATTAGCAGCAGGTCTAAAATCTTTAGCGTCAATTTCCATCATCTTGAATGCAGTATAATTAATAAATAACACAAATCACAAATAAGGGGGTGAATTAAAAACAATTCACAATGGAAGTTTTTTTTAAAAAACAGCTGCTCACTTTGGCAAGGCTTGTTTTCTCTTCTAAGCTTTCTTAACAAAAAATTGTGTTAAAAACTTAAAACACATTACTGCAACAAAACTAATAATTCACACGAATACAATAAAACGACATTTAACTAAATTGCGCAGTAAATTACTGAACAAATAATAACGGAATTTTTTAAACACTTGAGAGACTTGTGGCGGCATAAAGTTTAACCTTGCCAGATCAGCGATATGCTAATATGCAATTTGCTCTACAACACTGAAATGTTATATTTCGACGTCGACTTGTTCACTATCAAATCCATTTCTAATAAGTATATGTAAGCTGTGAGCCCCTCCATTTGATGGAAAAACATTAATGTGCACCACAAATTGGGGCTGGCAAATTGGCTTGACCGATAATCGCTTCAGCGATATAATATATATACATGTATATTTAAAAATCTCTCTCCCACTAATAAAAGAAATAACTTCCACCAAGTAAATCCTTTTAAACAAATGCGTTGAGGAAATTATATAAAAATTCAAGTTGTAAGACTATAAATTAATTCCTGCTTCGAATAATTTTTCTAATATACAATTGTTAACAATAGTCTTATTTTTGGTGAAAAAAGCCTGAGTACTGTCCATTCACTAGCACACTTACCGTATCCAAAAAAATGTTTCATAAAAAACTATGAAAATATAAAAAGTGTTTATGTATCAGGTGTACAACTTTGCTTCCGCCGTTTACCGATAGGCGGCTATACCGGCTGAGGCTAGTTGAAATACATAGATGATAATGCCTTTAAAGTGAGTATGGACAGTGCCTAACGAATTGTCATCGCCGTTTCAGTGACAGTTGTTCTTTTTTTCGTGTTATTCACGCTCGAAAATGTCCGTTTATGTGCCTAATTCTCGCCATTTGCGGGAAGTTTTACTTTTCTGTTACAATTCGAAAAAAAATTCAGGTGAAGCGCATCGAATGCTCTCAGAAACTTACGGTATTGCTACTCTGAGTGAAAGAATGTGTCGGGAGTGGTTTCAACGTTTTAAAAATGGTGATTTCTATGTCGAAGACAAACATGATGCTGGAAGAGAAAAAACCTTCAAAGATGAATAACTAGGAGTACTGCTTGATGAAGATTCGTGCCAAACCCAAGAACAGCTTGCCGAATCGTTGGCAGTGAGTCAGCAAGCCATTTCAAAACGTCTCAAGGCCCTGGGTATGAAGCAAAGTTGTACACCTGATATATGATAAATATATTTTATTATAGATATAAAAAATATAATATTTTCGCCTTACATTGACTGGAATGTATTGAAAAGTTGTCTTATCTGATACATTTAAATAATAAATAAATACAAATTAAGCACATTATTCCAGATCATCATCATATTGTTCTGATAGTGGAAAATAAAAATCATCACTTGAATCGAGAGACGAGAATGTATAGTCCTCTTCATCTATCCAGCAATCACCCTCCCAGGTGTCATAAACGTCGACACCATCATCCAAGCCAAGATATGGATTTGAATTGTGAAACACTATTTCGAAAAATGATTCTCGTTTAGTTACTAGGTATTCGTGACACTAAAATGAAAATTATATTATTTGTATTTATTGACATAAGTATACATATAAATACACACATATGTATGTATATTTGCTTTCAATGTGTGTCTACTTACCAGTGACAATGCGAAGTAATTTATGGAAGAACCATATACCAAAAGTTGCAAGGGCATTTTGCGCTTACGTTTTTCGGCTTTCAATACAAAAGTTGCCTCTTTAACGAACTCGCATGTTATGTTTTTACAAAATTGCACATTTATGTAATGGAGTTTTCCGCAGTTTTTAAACAAGTCCAGCAAACCTCTGCTAGTTGCTTTTACACATCCTCTGATCGTTAATTCTTCGAGTTGACGCAATTTGCTCAATTTTCTTAGGGCACAATCAGTGACGGCATCATTATTGGCAAGAAATAGAACTTTCAATTGTTTTAACTTTGATATCAGCGTTATATGTTGTGAATTTAATGAATTTTTAGCAACAATTTTTAGGACTTCCAACTGTTTAGCTTTTTGCTGGACCAGCGCATCAAATATAGCATAATCTAATATGCCTGTTGGCACGTAATCCAACAATTCGAATTGCTTCAGTTTCGGTAGGAGCGCAACTCGCGCAAAGGCCACATTAGGGTATGACATTTTCAGCACTTCCAGATTTTTACAATAGATATTTAAATTGCTGTAAAATATTTCTGAAATATGTAAGCAACGTCGAATGTCCAGCGACGTTAAGTCCTTCAAAGATTTGCATGCGTCTATCAAATTTGTGGTGTCCAAATTTTTGCAGCTAAACAATTTCAGTTCTCTCACATTAACCAAAAGGCGTATATTTTTACCTGTATGAGATTAATGAGAAATTAATTTTTATATGCCGATAATTATGTATAATTGTATGGAGGTGATGTAAATTAATATACGTACTTAAAAAATAAATAAGGTTATTTGCTTCTTACCTGTGAAAAAAACGGAACCACCGCATACTGATAATGAACGTAGTTTCGTTAAATGTTGCAGCGATTCGGTAAATTCATCATGATAATACCGTTCGCACCAAGTTAATTCCTCCAACTTTGTCATGCTCGACATTAATCTCGTAAAACAGTCTGGCATAATAGGGATATCATCGAGGCAAAGTTTTTTCACATTAGTGCAATGCACTGCCATACATTGTATTACGCGATCTTGTACTTCCATAGGAATGTTCCCTACTATATGCTCAATATTATTGCCAGTAAGTCGAAAGAAATCATGATTTTCCCCCAATGTCAATTTCCGAATACTGTCCAACTGCAATGTTTTATATTCACGTTTGGAGAACATTGTGAAAACCTCTCGAAAGCGTTCACATACATTCGCAAAACGCACTTGATCACGCAGATTCAATGAGGCACAAATAATTTCCAAGCAATCATCATTTAACGATAACATATTTGAGCCATTTAACGGCATTGCAATGTCCGTTGTTTTATTTAATTTCCCGTCACGTGGCCAACAATAGCAGGCGTTGTCTGCCGCAGGCTGATTCCAATTATCGATGGGGAAAACGGGCAGACGAAAACCATTAACAGTGTGAAACTTCTTTCTGAGTACTCTTAAAAAAAAAAAATCATTAAGTAACATGGCGAATTTATAGAAGGTGAAAGTGTCACATCCTATCTTTGCTTGTTCTTCCTTTTATTTCAACGAATTACACAAACAAAATACTAGAGCTATAGATTTTGACATGTCGTGCGGTCGATTACACAAACAAAATACATAGGCTTTTTGTTTTTGTATTCTTAATATGACCGTGTCTGAATTCGTCATGATTAATTCATTTAAATAAACGTTATTTGTCTTGTTTTGAATATTTACCTGGAAGCCGCGCCCGTATCACGGAAGCTGATAAAAGCCCTTTGATACTCGTCTCTTACGTCAGACTCTATACGAACCATTACTACTTTGCCAAATTTACTAAAATGAGGCCAGAGTTGGTTTCCGCTCATCTGAATAAGTTGAAAAATGCAAGAATTAAAAATTTGATAAACTTAATATTGAAACTAAAGCAAAGCAAAATGAAATAAAATATAAAAAAAAATAATAAAAACAATACAACTTACTTCATTGGGCATTTTGCTGATATAAATATTATTTCTTCGAACATTGCCTTCGGTGCTTGTCATCCTTCAAAACTGTTAATATTATTTTTAAATTTTTTTCTATCAAAAAATTCACTAAGACAATTAAAACTTTGCTGTTCGGCAGTATATTGAATAATGAACAAAATTTCGGTTGGTTACTAGGCGCATAGCTCAAAGCGAAGGCAACTAAGAGATTCTTAATACCTACCTACATAACTGTATACCTTCCAAGAAATATTTGTGTTTTTGGTAGAGCAGAGCCGAGCAGGTATCCTTTGGTTTGCTGAGTAATATTTGTTGTGTAGGTAGGTATCAAGGCACATGATTGCCTGTACTTTCTTCCATCTTAATAAATTTCACATACAAAATTAAAACCGTTGATTAAACAAACAAAATATATATAAAATATGGGCCTTTTGTGTTTGTATTCTTGCTACTACCGTGTTTGAATTTCCCTTGGTTTTAATTTTAAGATTTTGACAGTTTTAACAAGAGGAAGTTGCTACCGCAGCGAATTCAAGTTTTGCCATTCATTCTAATTAATTAGTAATAAAAAGGTAACGATAAAGGCCTCAACAAGACATTGAAATGATAAAAATTCACTATAAAAAATTTCATCGAAAAATCTTCTTGACTGATCAGATCGGTTTCCGCCTCGATGGCTACGTCAATAAGGAAAACTTTCGCATCTTGAATTTACGCTACGGTACTTCATAAAAAAATAAATAAAATTTTTTGTCATCTTTGAGTTAATGCAAACGTCCTTCTACGTCTTCGGGTCCAAAAGATAGTGGAGTAAGTGTTATTTAATTAAAATTTGTATATTTTACGGAAGTATGATTGTGAAGAATACTTAGGGTTCCTGTAAATACCACCATACCACATTCTCTTTATTATATGTATATATGTACATATGTACATATATTATATAACCTCCGAAGCGGTTTTCCTCCAATTTGTGGTATGCGTGTTGTTGTTTTTCCAACGAAAGGAGTTACCTAAGCAGTTCATACTAAGTCTTCTCCGAACCTTTATTTCATATCAGAAATACACTCGGAAGTGTTAACATTCCCTCCCGAGGGGCATGATGGTCGAACCTGGACTTGGACAATGTGGACGCCAATCTTTTAATTGTGAATTCTAATCCCGCCACGCTTATTTATTATTTACTTTAATAAAAAATTGTCTCCTTTGTCTAGTAGCTCAAATTACTCGTACATGTATTATATAAAATATCGTATATATACATACATTCATATATTTAAATTTTCGCCATTCTATTTGTATTATATTAGCTCAAACTATTGCACGTCTTCTGTCTCTCAATCTCAGCTTATTTTAAACACACCTTTCTCGCTCGCTTCGCTCTTTTTAAAATTTCTAAAATAAAAGAACTATGTGTGTGTAAGGGAAGACACATTTTTTATTTATTTATTTCTTATATATATTTTTACATTCGATTAATAATCGAAATATAATCAAAACCAATCGTAGCGGGTTTTTCAATCCATTCTAATATTTCTTTCATTAATTGAACTTTATCTGCAAACCCCATTACCTGAAAAATTAATAATTAGATACATATACACACAGTCATATGTGTATGTTTTCAAGCATAGATACATACATACATAAATATTGTAGTAAAAACCCAAAGTTCAATTTCCAAACTTACATTTATTTTACATTTATTCGTTTGAAATTTAAGACAGCTACAATCAGTTCAAAGTAAAAAAACAAAATTAAAAGGAATGCTAAAATCTACAGATACGAATAGAACGAGCACATCGACACGTTGCGCTGTCGCCTTCGTCGTCGCCGCCTCCCCAAAATACGAGTGATTCGTGGACAAAAAGTATCCCCGTGTAAACTCGGACTATATGTTAAATAATTTCTTTACATAAAATATATAATACTTATGTATGTATGTAAACCATTTTCACGCATGGAGAGATTATACTGCGCCATTAGAAACATATGAATAAATAAAATTGGAGTACATCATTCAATATCATCATCATTTTGTTCTGAGGGTGGAAAATAGAAATCATCATCGGCAATAGTGATTGCATCGTCCTCCTCATCCGTCCAGCAATCACCCTCGCAGGTGTCATAAACGTCGACACCATCATCCAAGCCAAGATATGGATTTGAATTGTGAAACACTATTTCGAAAAATGATTCTCGTTTAGTTACTAGGTATTCGTGACACTAAAATGAAAATTATATTATTTGTATTTATTGACATAAGTATACATATAAATACACACATATGTATGTATATTTGCTTTCAATGTGTGTCTACTTACCAGTGACAATGCGAAGTAATTTATGGAAGAACCATATACCAAAAGTTGCAAGGGCATTTTGCGCTTACGTTTTTCGGCTTTCAATACAAAAGTTGCCTCTTTAACGAACTCGCATGTTATGTTTTTACAAAATTGCACATTTATGTAATGGAGTTTTCCGCAGTTTTTAAACAAGTCCAGCAAACCTCTGCTAGTTGCTTTTACACATCCTCTGATCGTTAATTCTTCGAGTTGACGCAATTTGCTCAATTTTCTTAGGGCACAATCAGTGACGGCATCATTATTGGCAAGAAATAGAACTTTCAATTGTTTTAACTTTGATATCAGCGTTATATGTTGTGAATTTAATGAATTTTTAGCAACAATTTTTAGGACTTCCAACTGTTTAGCTTTTTGCTGGACCAGCGCATCAAATATAGCATAATCTAATATGCCTGTTGGCACGTAATCCAACAATTCGAATTGCTTCAGTTTCGGTAGGAGCGCAACTCGCGCAAAGGCCACATTAGGGTATGACATTTTCAGCACTTCCAGATTTTTACAATAGATATTTAAATTGCTGTAAAATATTTCTGAAATATGTAAGCAACGTCGAATGTCCAGCGACGTTAAGTCCTTCAAAGCTTTGCATGCGTCTATCAAATTTGTGGAGTCCAAATTTTTGCAGTTAAACAATTTCAGTTCTCTCACATTAACCAAAAGGCGTATATTTTTTCCTGTATGAGATTAATGATAAATCAAATTTTATAAGCTGATAATTATGTATAATTGTTTGGAGGTAATGTAAATAAGTACATATATGTTCTTAAAATTATTTTTTAATTTCATATTTATGTACGTAAAAAAAGATTAATTTTTTAATGCAAATTTGTATTTTTTTTTTCAAAATCAATAAATGGTATCAAAATATATTTTTTCAAAAATAAAAAAAAAAATTTTAAACAAAATTAATATAAACATTAAGTGGTTGTTATTGTTTAATAAATAATTTATTATAAAACTATTTTAATTTTTATTTCCATTTGGTTTGTATATTTTTTATGATTTTTATCATTAATTTTAAAGATTGTTATATTCTTCTCCTATTCACAATTTAGGAACTCGCCCTGTATTGTTATAAAGGCCGAAGACGTGGAGAAAAAATTTACAAAAAAAATATTTAACATTTCGAAAAGAAATTTTTTCTCGTTTTTTCACAAATATTTGGCTAGAAAAGAACAATGTACTTTTTTTTCTCTTTAATAAGAAACAAATGTCCAATTTGTATTCGCTTCTTACCCCTGAAATCGTAGCCACCGCATATTGATAATGAACGTAGTTTGTTTAAATGTGCCATCGATTTGGTATATTCATCAACATAATTAAGTTCACTCCAAGTTAATTCCTCCAACTTTGGCATGCTCCACATTAATGTCGTAAAACAGTCCGGCATCATAGCGGTATTATCAAGGCAAAGTTTTTTCACATTAGGGCAGTGCACTACAATACATTGTACCATGCGCTCGGTAACTTCACAAGAAATTTCTCCTATTATATGCTCAATATTACTACCAGCGTGTCGAAAGAAATCACGCTTTTCCCACAATGCCATTTCCCGCATTAGTTCCAGCTGGAATGTTTTATATTCTCGTTTGGAGAACATTGTGAAAACCTCTCGAAAGCGTTCACATACATTCGCAAAACGCACTTGATCACGCAGATTCAATGAGGCACAAATAATTTCCAAGCAATCATCATTTAACGATAACATATTGGAGCCATTTAACGGCATTGCAATGTCTGTTGTTTTATTTGATTTCCCGTTACTTGGCCAACAACAGCAGGCGTTGTTTGCCGCAGGCTGATTCCAATTATCGATGGGAAAAACGGGCAGACGAAAACCATTAACAGTGTGAAATTTCTTCCTGAGTACTCTTAAAAAACAAACCAATAAATAAAAATCATTAAGTAACATGGCGAATTTATAGAAGGTGAAAGTGTCACATCCTATGTTTGCTTGTTCTTCCTTTTATTTCAACGAATTACACAAACAAAATACTAGAGCTATAGATTTTGACATGTCGTGCGGTCGATTACACAAACAAAAACAATAGGTTTTTTGTTTTTGTATTCTTACTACGACCGTGTCTGAATTCGCCATGATTAAGTCATTTAAATAAACGTTTTTTGTCTTGTTTTGAATATTTACTTGGAGGCCGCGCCCGCATCACTGAAGCTGATAAAAGCCCTTTGATACTCATCACTTACGTCAGACTCTATGCGAACCATTACTACTTTGCCAAATTTACTGAAATGAGGCCAGAGCTGGTTTCCGCTCATCTGAATAAGTTGAAAAATGCAAGAATTACAAATTTAATAAACTTAATATTGAAACTAAAGCAAAGCAAAATGAAATAAAATATAAAAAAAAAATAATAATAAAAACATCCAACTTACTTCATTGGGCATTTCGCTTATATAAATATTATTTCTTCGAAAATTGCCTTCGGTGCTTGTCATCCTTCAAAACTGTAATGTTATTTTTAAATTTTGATTCTATCAAAAAATTTACTAAGACAATTAAAACTTTGCTGTTCGACAGTATATTGTACAATGAGAAAAATTTCCATTTGTTACTAAGTACATAGCTCAGAGCAAAGGCAACCAATAGATCCTTCCAAGAAATATTTGTGTTTTTGGTAGAGCAATACCGAGCAGGTATCCTTTAGTTTGCTGAGTAATATTTGTTTGTGTTCGCGTCTTTAAGCAATTATGTATAATATATGTATATACACATATAGGTAGGTAGGTGTAAATATTTTGAAAACCAAATTTTAACAAGGCGAATTCATAAAAGGTAACGTTGTCACATCACATGACCTGTACTTCCTTCCGTTTCAGCGAATTAAACGAGCAAAATACATGAACTATCGATTTTGACATGTCGAGCGGTCGATTACACAAACAAAATACATAGGCTTTTTATTTTTATATTCTTACTGCGACAGTGTGAATTCGCCTTGATTTTCATTTTAAATTTTTTACCGTTTTTCCACAAGGCAAATTTAACAAGGGAACAAAGTGAATTTACGAAATTTACACAAAAATTAAAATAAATTAGCCTCAAGGCGAATTCATGCATTAAATCATCAACGTGTTATTGTAAGTCCAAGTTGGCTAGTATGAACAACAAACGAACGAATTTACTTTCACTAAACGATTATTGCTTAGAAGTAATCTTTGAAAACCTCGACTTGCTAGAGCAAATCCGTTTATCGCTATGCCATACACGTTTGGAATGGGTATTTGTGCATATGATAGTTCCACATTTGGACCGAAATTTCTGTTTTGATGATGCACACGCCTTTACCGAATGGGATTTTAGACAATTATTTTACACTGTTGGCAAATGCATGGAAATTATTATTCTCGGACCGAAATTCCAGCGAAATGCCAGCCATTTAGAAGGCATTTATTCCTATATGCAAGAATGCCGCTTGCGTGTTAAACACATTATAATCCACTCTCGAGAACCTAAACAATGCGTCTCTCTGCTCAGTTCATTGCAACCAGATTATATAAGTGAACTCGATTTGTTCGAATGTAATTTATGTGACAACGATTTGCAATATTTGTGTAAATTACGTAATCTCAAAGGGCTCGGCTTAGGCTGGAATTATCAAATAGAAGGCATTGTTTTAAAAGATTTGCACAATTTGCAACGACTGATGTTATGTTGTTGTGATAGTATAACTAATGAGGCATTGACTGAGTGCTGCAAAAATTTACGGTTAAAATTCTTAGACATACGTATGTTCAACAATTTGTCGCATGTGGAAACAGCAGTGCAGTATTGCACATCATTGGAAACTTTGAAGACAACGTCTCTAAACGTGGATGCTGCTAAACTACCAAATTTAAGATCATTGGAAATACGACATCAAAACTCCCAAGTAGGTAACAGGATTCATTTAAAATGTTGGACTTAATAATGAATTGTAGGTTTCTTTTTTAATTAAAATAATTTGATTCAATTCAAGTGGGCAAGCCGATTTTATGAAGCACTACTAAAATTTCATCAACATGATTTGCTTGAATTAAAATTATTTGACGAAATATATGTATTTTTTCCAACAGCGGCAAGATTTGCACAATTTAAAAAGTTACGCTCCCTCGCGTTGGGTAACAACGCATTTAGTGTTTGCCGTGATGTAGTGAAGCTAATTTCGGGTTTGACCGATTTAGAGGAAATTCATTTAATTAATTCCCTACGCATCAGAGATAAACATTTGTTGCCGCTTATAACTAAATGTACCAAATTGAAGCGAGTGGATATACGTATGTGTCGTTATATTTCAAACAATTTTGTTTGGAAAACAATGATTATATTGAAAAGGCGTGCAGCAAACTCCAAGGAAATTTTCAATAGGCAACCGCTTACAATATTGGTTAATGGAACACGTATAACACGTAATATTTTAGATGTATGTATGTATGTATTAGGAAAAATATTTTACAATGAAGGAAAACTAAATTTTTGATTTTGACTTCAGAGTGTAGGTTATAAGAGGAACAGCGATCTGTTGAAATTATTATTTCATAACAGCAACACTCAACTGAGCGTTATTTTTAAAACTGAAAATCATAAAAGTGATTGTAGTTGTTTCAGTTGTAGAAAATCGAATAAAAGTAACCCAAATGAAATGCGTGGTGAAATGTCTGAAGAGTACGGCAACTTGAGTGATGATGATGAAGACGATGATGATGATGATGGTGTCGATATTGATGAGCATGATCTAGAGAGTACGCTAATATCAATGGAATAACATTTATTTGTTGTGATTAAATTTAAATTTAGAAAATCTTATGCAATACATGTACAACAATTTATCATATGTAGCACTTAAACATTTATGTAAATATAAACAATTGAATGTATTATATTAAATACAGCATATTACATACTTAACCTTTTACATACTTTACCACTACATTTGACTTAATTGTGTTACCTGGAAACAAATTAAAAAAGTATACTAAAAATTTTAAGAGTTGTAGGAAATAGCATTAATTTTTTATTTAGAAATGCTTTTTAGCTGAATCGGTGACATGAATTTTCAGTAATCGCATTTGGCGTTTGATTGTGTTCATCATGGCGAGTCCTTTGTGTGAGCACTCACTACATTTTTCCGCCCTTACACCTTCCTTACGCCCTGCCGTTTTGAAGAATTTTCAACTGAATGCTTTTCTATTTTTCAAATTTTTGATGTTCAATTAGATCTGCGGCAGAATCGTATTCTAAAATTGTTAAAGGGAAGTATTTTCATCACCATACATTTTTTTTATGTTTAATATCTGTATTGCAAATGTATTGAATATATGGTGTCATCAGCATTTATTACCTTTGATTTTTCCACTGTCACCATTCTAATTATTGCTATTTTTTTGTCGCGAACGATTCACATTCATACAAGAGAAATAAGCCACCTGCAGTAGAGCACGGTTACGTATTTTCATAATGTTCACCGCTTCATAAAAGAACGCCAATGATAATGGAAATTGTATACAAATAGTGATCGTAGGAGATATTGTTAATAACTGACATTCTTATTCATTACCGGATTTGACCATTTCGAACATTTCAGTGATATAAATAATTATGTATATACTTACATACATACAAATCTAATCTAAGCGTCTACTTTGTATGTATGTATATACACACTTTTATTGCTTTTATTTTCGTTCGAGAATTTACAAGAATTTTCTTATCACAACAAAATGCAAAAACTGGCTTATATCGAATGTTTATCGATAATTTACGTTTAATGCATAATTCATCGAAATATTGCTTGATACAAAAAAATATCAGTTTTACTTTATTTAAATGTATTGACTAAGTATTGTATTTATAAATTGCTTCAAAATGTGGTTATAAAATTGAAGACTCTATTGTTTAAAAAAAAAATTAATATCATTCACCCTGATGTAATATGTACTTAACAAAAAAAAAAAGTGAATTAGCAACCCTACTCTCAGCGCGTTTGTTTTATTACATTTCGCTTATTTGACAGTTATTGCATTTTCTTCATAAAACAGAAAAAGAATAGTGAAAATTCTAATTTTGTACGTTTGTGCGTCGTTTTTGCTATGGAAAACAATAAATTAATCATATTGAACTTACAATAAACGTTGTAATTATTCATTCTAATTAAAATACGGTGCTAGATATATATTTAGTGCAACAAAAATATTCTGCTAGCACTCACGAGCAGTTTGGCGTGGCTATATAATGGACGCTGAGACGGCATTGGAGGGAACGGCGCCATTTGATTATAGGCTGGTTTGCAGAACGTGCCTTGCTTCGGATGCAGAATTTTATAAACTTGACTCACCAATATTTGTCGAGAATCAGGATAGTGATGAAAAGCCTGCCAGCTTTATGGATTGTTTGCGTTATTGCACACGTTTTAGTGATTACGATGATAGTGAAAAATTACAATACCCAATATACATTTGCACGGAATGTAGTGCAGCGCTGCAAGTGTCTTATAGTTTCATAAAGAACGCACTTGAGGCGCATGAAATATTGCGACAGAAATTAAGTGAATATACCGACATTCAGCCGAAAAATCTAAAAATATTGCGCAAAAATGGTTTGGTTGAGGAAATTGGACGCGGTTGCGCGGGGACGCAAGATGGCGTGGTAAGTCAAGATCAAGAAAAAGAAAAAAAAACAAAAACAAATGTGATTAGCATAATGAAACACATTACAGTCTGCCTAATATTTTTGTTTATTAATTATTAAGGATACAGACGTGCCAAAAATGCGTTTTCGGTGCAAAATTTGCAATGAGAAAGTTGAGACAAAAAGAGCTTTGAAAGAACACATAAAATTGCATTTAGGTAAGTACATACATACATATGAGATTACATTGAAAATTACTCATAAATGAGAATTGTAAGTATTTACATACTTTTGTTTGCTTTCTTTTTCAGATATAATTTCCTATTGCTGTCAGTTGTGCAATTTCGAGTGCAAGAAACGAACACTGCTATTTGATCATTATAAATTGGCACACCATACGCAACCTACAAAGGAGCAACTAAAACCCAAAACAATGCAACCTAATCAGGCGCCTATTAAGAGAGAAGAAGAAATCGATTTTGAAGATTCCATTGCTAAAGAAATGGAAAAAATTCACAACAATCAAGTTAACGCAGAGTATTTACATGATACACAGAATGAGATACAAAACCAACAACAACCACAAGACATAAATATGAAATTATTTCTAACGCCGACCAGTAGTAATGCCTCAGCCGCTGCAGCATATGTCGAAGCAGCTACAGCGGCAACTGCTACAGATGGTTCTACTGAAACGATCACAGTGAAAACGGAGCACAGTGCTAGCATATCAACGAATCTGCAGCAATATGGCACGGAAGAATTTAATATTGCTGCAAATGAATTGAGCGTCGGTAATGAGTTCATTGTTATGGCCGATGGAACGGTAGAGGAAGTGATGGGCAATGGTGAGTATGGACACGAAAATAATACATAAAAAAACGATTATGCAAATGTTAGAAGTAACTACTAATTGAAATTTTTTAAAGTTAAATTTTTTTTTTTAATTTCTTAATTCAACAGTTGCTTTAAAGTACTATACCACAAAGAATTGCAAGCCTCAGCTTTAATGCAATTCCTTTTATGTAAATTTTGAAAAAGATAAAATTCTTCCGAGGAAAAAAATCAGAAACTTTAGAACTTTAGTTATCTTGAAATATTGTTGGCTTGTTCTACAAGCAAAAAATTGTGACTTAATAGCTTTTTACATTCAATCAATATTTCGAAAGCACCAACTTAAGCATAGAATATGTTTTTTAGGTGTCGTCATCGAATACATTAATGCGGCAGATGATGGTGTAACATTAGAAAATGGATTGGTAATGGATAATATTATGCAAGTACAACAAACAGGTGATATGGATCAAACCGTGACAATGGATATGGATGTGGATGACATGATTATCGAGGAATGTATAGGTAGTGAGATAACTGCACACAATATGTCATCTATAACTATGGCGCCGGAGACTACAGTGCAAAGTAAGATAGATTGTTTGAAATTTTACTTAGTTCTTGAAATTCTAATTTCTCACTTTCACCTTAATAGCGTTACAAAATATAGAAGATGAATTGCCGCCGCCCGCGATTATTTCAGCAGCAAATGTACTTACCGCTAAGCGTATTAAGTGCAAAATTTGTGCTAGTAATTTTCAGACACAAGATCAACTTAAAACACATATGCTTACACACAATGGTTGGTGGTTAAGATTTTTACATATTATATTAAATATTAAAAGTGAAATTAATTTTTAAATTCTCTTTTCTTTCGACTAGAAATACCACATTTCTTTTGTGATCAATGCGCATTTTACACTTTCTTTAAAATTGATTTGACACAACATTACAAAACCAAGCATAAATTGCAGCCCACACAAAAGCAATTACAGCCGAAGAATAAAGTCAAATCACACGACCAGCCGGGCGATATGAAGCATGTATATGCTTGCGATTTGTGTCTGTTTGAAACACGCATAAAGGCACATTTACGACGTCACTATTTGAGTCAGCATCAAGAGGAGGCAACTGAAGTGCAATTGAGACCAACAATCGGTATTTTTATTGTAACTGTATATGCATATATATATTTCACTTATTCCCATCCTTATTTATATCGCACCAGACGAATCTGTTGCATTAACACAACCGGAGGTCACACCGTCAGATTCGCCACCCAAACAACGTGGAAAAGTTTTACGTCCCGACTATCCCAAAGGTTTAAATTGCAAAAAATGTTCAAAAATATTTTACTGGCGTGAAAAACTTAAGGATCATTATCGACAACATGGCTTGGAAGAGAGCAATGGCATAGATGTAGCTGTCAACGATACAATGGTGTCCGATATAGTAGTGGATAACGCCGCGCCGGGTACAAGTTTGCTAAAACAAAATACATTTCAATATCAATTGCCGCCAGCACATGATGGAAATAATGTGAATATCATGCTCAATACAAATATCGGACATAATCACTACAACAGCAATGCAGCAACTGCCGATCCGAGTGTTATAGATGCACAGGCAATTGTCGATGCTGCGGTAGCGGAGGCACAAGCTGCTGGCATGCAGCTTAATATGCAAATGAATGCACCGGCACCAGATATTATAATGGATATACCAGTCGCAACAACAATTACTAATACAGCGGTAGCCATAGACACAACAGTGGGTGTCAATCATGTCCACGACATTCAACATCAACAACAGCAGCAGCAGCATCTTCAGCAGCATCAGCAGCAACAGCACCACCACCAGTCAGTAGCAGTAATGGCAGGTTATGCGTGTCAACAAATACCATCGGATGCCATACCACAAGTTGTTGAAACCGAAACAACAATTGATAATAGCGAATTGGATTTTGTTTTTAACGATGCGCTCTTTGAAGAATTCGAAGAAGATGAAAATGAGGATGAGGAGAATGAAGAAGATGCTGGCACAGATTTTCAAGATTTACTGCTTACCAGTGATGATGATTTCGATGATATGTTAGAGGATGAACAGCAGAAACAGCGTGAATTTGACGGGGAGATTCCTGCAACGCCGAACACAAGCACTTATCAACCGTATTGTGTACACTGTAATAGGAAATTTTTCAGTCAATATCATTTTGAAAATCATATGTTCGTGCATCGTGGTAGGTTGAACAGGGAAATGGAATTTAACTACTTTTATTTACTGCAAATGCCAAAACTCAAAGAAGAGAAGCTGGAAGCTACAAAAAGCTCTTATAAAAATTTACATATTTTTTTTTAGTTATGTCATTATTGCAGGAAATGTTAGATATACATACTCGTACATGCATGCATAAAAAAAACTAAAAAATTTATTTTCTTAAAATATTATTTTTTATTCATATTCGCTTTTTTTTTACCACAGGTTTGGCACCCTATCGCTGTGAGATGTGTACAAATTTATATAATACAAAGCGTGCATTAATACGTCACTATCGCGCTGTTCATAAGAAAATTCCAACAAGAGATATGATACAAGCCAAGGGTGATAAAGGTAAACGATTTATTTTCTGCTCTTCTCTCTTATTCAAAAATTATTTTATTACCTAAATTTACTTTTTTTTGATTGCAGTTGTTGTAGATCATACGCCGATTGCACATTTAAATCTGATCGAAAAAAAAGGTAGTTTAAAAGAGTTTTTAATTTTAGGGTTTTAAGTTTATAAATTATCTGTACATAAATATGTAATAATATACCATATTTCTACTATTTCACTATACGTAAAGCTAAATTTTAAGTTCCACTACTTTTGTGTTTTTTTTTTTTTTTAATTTTTATTTCCATTTTCTTACTCTTTTAGCAGTCACATTAATGTGTGCTAAATGTCCGTTCGAATCGGTCGATCTAACCGTTATGCAGATACATTTAAACACCATGCATGGCTTAGTCGATGGTAAGTAGCGAGTATGAGTTTTTCCTTTCTAAAGTGTTTAATATGTGAGAAAACGATAGATGATAAACAAGTACAATATATATTTTTAAATCAGACAAATGAAACAATTTTGTTCCATTTCATCTAGAAAATCGTCACTGCGGTAGTATTGTATTGAATTGAACACTTTCAGAAAAGCCTAAAATTTTTGTATTTTACAAAATTAACAAATTTTCATTAAACAAACCTTTTTTTATTTGCAGAAAATTTCATCTTACAAAGTGAGTTGAGAGCGAGAATTTGCAATTTCTCATTATGAAGTATTATTAATACCAAAAAAATCGTAACCGTCACACAAATCAGGAAAAAAGCTTGTATTTTTCAACCAAATATTTTTTATTGCTAATTTGAAAAAAAAAAGAAATTTAACTAAATAGTAATTTATAGTTCGCTTCAGCGATTATAGAGCGCCAATTTTATACATATATAACATTTACTATATAACTCCTTTTTTCCTCCACTAACAGAATTGCCATTTGAGTGTCCGCGCTGCATCCGATCATGCGCAACGCGTGCGCGTCTCATACGACATTTGGAACGTAGTCATTCGGTGGCGACTATAATACAACAACACCGTATTACAAATAATCTTATGCGTAATCAGTTGCAACAGCAGCAAACAGCACAACAGCAACAACAACTGGAAAACCAACCGTTTATAGCAATTAAAGATACAGCTACCGCAACGACAACAACAATAGCAGCTGCGACGACACATCCATCCGCATCCACAATAGCAGTAACAACATTCTCGCCAGCAGCGCCGACGAGTTCAAGTTGCGGTAAGGTATATAAGGGCTTAAATAAGAATCAAATCACGCAAAGTCAGAAATTAAAAATGTTACTTGAAACTGATACAGACTGTTAATTGCAAAAGTGACCTCCTCTACATACATACATATATGTACATACATACTTACATACATCATATGTGTGTGTGTGTATAAATGTGAGTTTGTGTTTAATGTACAGCTAGATAAGTAATCATTAGAAACAAAGAAAGAAAGAAAGAAAAAAATATATGAAACACACTATCAAATAATATAAGAGAATAAAAGTAATAATAAGAATAATAATTATAATATTAACTAAAAAAAAAGAAAAAATGAATTAAATGAATTGAAATACAAAAGTGAAGCAAACCAACACAATCAATCAATTGTACTCTGCATGCAGGCCAAGGCATAAATATGCAATCATATCAATTCAACTACAACAACAAGAACAACAACGATGAAGATGATGATGATGATGATGATGATGATGATGATGCTGATGCTGATGTTGATGCTGATGCTGATGCTGATACTGATGTTGATAATGCTGTTGGTGTGGATGTTGTGGGTGGTGATGCTGCTTGCATTCAAGACGTTAATATTAACAATAACAACAACAACACTCTCGACAATCATATGCAGCATACAGTAGCGGCCGCCATTGAAATTTCACCGCTCTCCAAATTAATCGCCGACATGGAGCATGATGAGCAATCACAAGCAGACGATTCAATTGTCGCTACAACAATGTTTACCCATACAAGTGCAAATACACTGTTGAGAAAAAAAGTTCAATGTAGTAAAATGCCACCAGCAATAACAGCAGCAAATATGCCACGAATAAGAAGGAAAAGTATGTCAAATGTAGTAAATACCTTAATCACCGCCAATACGTACAATCAATTGAATGAAAACAACGAATTATTCGATGAATATGCCTGCGGCATGTGTTCACAAAGTTGGCGTACCGCTGCTGAGCTGCACGCACACGAATGCATACGTTTAGCGGGTAGCCTAGGTAGCGGTAATAAGGAGGCTCTTGAGGAGTATGCCACAACCACCAGCGCAGAAGAGAAATGTTCAAATCGAAAGGGCTTAGAAAATGTTGGTCTTATAACATCTGAACGTTCGTTGTATCTCTTTAAATGTGATATTTGTCATTGCAATTACAAATCCAGTGAATTACTAAAACATCACATGAAACGACATACGGCGCGCATTTTTCGCTGCAGCCACTGCCCGAAGACTTATATCAATCGGAGTGAGTTGAAATTCCATCAACTCAGCCACACCGGCGAGAAGCCGCATAAGTGTAAAATGTGTCCGAAACAATTTCGTTATCCACACCACTTGAAACGGCATTGTGATGTCGTGCATTTGGGTAAACGTGCACGCTGTCCCGTGGTTGGTTGTGGGCGTACATTTACAACGCAAGCACAATTAAAGATACACGGTTGGATTCATGATGGAAATGAGCCGTACCGCTGCAAGTACTGTAGGCAGTCGTTCAAGAAGCGCGAGTCGTGAGTATTGAGTAATATAATTATTTCTTTTTACTGCATCAGAATGTATTAATTTTTATATGAAATATTAATTATTTGATATTTATGTATTTTATATTATTTGATATTTATCACTGCAATTTGTTTTATTTATTCATTTTTGGTAATTAATTTTTTTCTATTGTGTTTTAATTAGTTAATTAATTTTTTTTTTTACCGTATTTTTAATTTACTTTTAATTTAAATCATTTTGTTTAGTTAATTTATTTATTTAATATTTTAATTTTGTGTTTTATAAATTTCCCAATTCAGTTTTGTTTTAATATTACATTGTTTTTTTTTATATCTATTTTTATGTTTTAATTTAAATTTGTTTTATTTCCTTTATTTTATTTTTCATTATTTTTCAATTAAGTTTTTATTTTTTTTTCATTAAATTTTATATCTAAACTTTTTATTAAATCATTCTATTTTACTTTTTATTTTATTTTTTACCAATTTTACTTGATTTTCTTCTATTTTAGTATATTTTATTTATTAAATTTTTTATTTTTCATTTCATTTTTATTTTTCTTTTATTTACTAATAAAATATATAAAAAAAAGAAGTAAAAATAAAACAAATAATTATTTTAACTTTTTTATATATTTTTTCCTTATTTTAATTCTATTTTACTTTTTCCTTTATTTTATGCAATATATTTCACTATTTTATTAATATTTTTATTTGTATGTTATTTTATTTTTTTTTTCATTTTTAATTATTTTATTTAATTTTTTATTTTATATAATTTTTGTTTATTATTAAATATTTTATTTAATTTTTGCATATTTAATTATATTATTTAATTTTTTTTAATATAATATTTAAACTTTATTAAATGTATATATTAATTTCTCCATTATAATTTTTTTAATTATTTTTTTTTTGTTTTTTCAATTATAATTTGTTTAATTTCAGAATTTGCGTATAAAAATGTTTGATTTTATTCTTTTTTGAACTTCAGTTTTATTTTAATTTTATTTCATTTAAATTTGGTTTTTATATAATTTAATTTAACTTTTTTTAATTCTTTTAATTTATTTTTTTACTTTTATTCTATTTTAATTTTGACTCATTATAGTTTAATTTTTTTAGTTTATTCTTATTTTTTCGATTTTAATTTAATTTGATTTTATTTGAATTTTCTTTATTTATTTATTTTAAATTAAGTTGTTTTAATATTTATTATTTTTTTGGTTTCTTTTCGTTTTATTTAAATTAATATCAATTAGATTATTTAATTTTAATTTCAATTCATTGTTTCAATTTCTGTTTGTTTGTTTTGTTGCCTTTTTCATTTCAGTTTTTTTATTTTAATTTAATTTTATTTTATTATAGCTCCCCTTTATTTAGTTTAATTTTAATTGTTTTAATTTATTTAATTTTTTTTTTGTTTTATTCTATTTCAAAATTGGATTTGTCTTAATCTATTTTTCTTTTAATATTAATTTAAATTTCCTTGACTTAATGTTTTAGTTTATTTAATTTAATTTTAGTTCATTGTATTTTAATAAATTCATTTGTTTTTCTATTTTTTATGTTGTTTTGATTTTTTTAAATATATTTTTTTTGGCTATTACACTAACACTTTAATTTTTTTTTTTAATTTTTTAGTTTCATTCAATCTTTTACTTTAGTTTTATTTTATTTTAATATTTTTATAATCTCGTCTTTCATTCACTTAATTTAATTTAATTTACTTTATTATATATTTTAAAATATTTTTTATTATATATATTTTATCTATATTATTATTTCTTTTCCAGCTTACGCAAGCATACGCGTCGTGTGCATCATTTCGATCTAACCGAACAGGAAATCGCCGACATTTATCGTCAAAATGTTGGTCACACAAATCCACATGACTTTACGGTGTCTCTCTCAAATGGACGCATGCTTCGACGTTCAGATTTTGAACAAGTCGCCGAACACCAACACGCACTGGATGACGATTTACCTACAGTATCTGTATCAGCGTCCGAAGCAGCAACCGTCGGTGAAGTCGTCAAGACAGAAATCGATATAGACAGTAGTCTATCGCCGCTACTCGCATCCAATAGTCATAAAAATATCCATATACAACAACTTGTGTTGGGAGTCGAAGAGGAGGATGAAACCGCTGTATCGCATATTTCTCAAACTAGCAATTCAATGTCGACGCATGAGGAAACAATACATACATACATGTTGCCCGGCATGGAGGAGCATGGCCAATTGCCACATTTTAAGTTGGAGAATTCTGGTTCATTTTGAGTATGCCAATGAGACGCTCAGCTCAGCATATATAATGTTTTGCGAAAGCATATACAAACAATTATATGTATTACATAATTGATATGCAACTGTAAATGGTTTGTAAATAAGATGATCACCACCACCACCACCACCACCATCTTCAACACTACTACATATTTCATAGAATTTTAGTTTTTATATTTTTATTTATACATACATATATACATATTATTATTAAAAAAAGCCCTACCAAAATATATACATATATATGTAGGATACATGTATAAATGCGTACATTTTTATGTGTAGATGCATAGCAAGGCCAACCTCAACACATAAATAAATCAATTGTTTCAATAATTAATGTACGTCTCGAAGCAATTAAATAATAATTCATTATAAAGTATTTAACACTTATGAAGAAAAATGGACTTTTTAAAAGAAAAGTAAAACCGTAAGTTAAGTTATATGTTTATGAAGTTGTCACTTGTGCATATGTGTATACTTACATACATACATGCAAACATACTTTAATTCATACATTATAGTCTATTTGCTATTGTAGATATTTAAAATAATTAAAATTAATGTAAATTAATAATATAAAAATACATACAAATGTGCTTTGCATTTTTAAAGTTTACTTGAGTTGTTGTTTTCCATTATTCCACGAAGAAATGTATAAAATTAAGAGGTATTGAGATAAGAGGTAAATTAAGGTGCATACCTAGTGTGATATTTCAAAAAAAATCTATCTTTTTTTCATATTTTCGGTAGATTACACCTTTAACAACAACATATTAAAATATCAAATCGATATCTCAAATAGTTTTTGAGTTATAGCAATTCAAAGAGCAGCCGCTCGGCAGCTAGAGAGTCTCATTAGCTACGAGTGAAAACGATCATTTTATCTTTAAACGCGTTTTTCTCGAAACAGCATTTTTTTACATGTTCTATATATAGTTCTCCGTACATTGACCTATCAACTTTTGATCTGATCAAAAAAATCAAATTTTGGGTAAAATTCGACTATTTTTTTTAAACGCCGCCATATTGTCAATGTTTGATTCTTTTTTTATGGTAGGTCATTGTACAGACAATTTTATTTGGAGAGAATTTTTTTTATATAATTCATCCACGGAAAAGGCCGGAATCACTGTAGGAGTGAAGGACCTTTTCTTCGCGCCGTTGGAAACCGACTATAACCTAAAAAATATTTAATTTTTTCTTCAAAAATTTCACTGTATATTCTTGAAACATGTATATTCTTAAGATTTTGAAATAATTGATAAAGTACTTTTTTTATAATATATATTCCCAAAAATCGCCTTTTTTAGGCCATTACACTAGGTGTACCCCTTAAGAAGTGCTCCTCCTCCTTGCAATCTCATTAAACGGTTTGATTTGGATAGATAGGAGTTTGATCGACTACAATAGCCAGATCGAAGCCGTGTCAATATTACGCGGAACTCTCGAAGCAGTTTGAGCTCAATAATGAAACAGGTCATCGTGTTGGACTCCGCCTACTATAGTTGTGGTAAAAATTGTGTGGTGGAGAAGTAAGTTTAGCACTGTCCACACAAAAAGGCTTGAAACCATATTACCGAGCTATTTTTATATAAAAAAAGTTAAGAATTCGCAGAACTTCAGTTATTTAACACATGTCTTGAGATTTAAAACAGCCTTTTTGAACTTAATTATACGCGTAACTATGCAGTTGCCTACCGAAAATTCGTCTCAATTTATAAATTTTTTTTATTCTTTAATAAAATTTCATCTTAAATAATTTTACTTTATTTTAATTTGGATTATTAATTATAATTTAATTTTAACTTATTTCATTTTCAATTTTATATACATTTTTTAATTGAATTTATTTTGAAACTTTTCATATTATTTTATATTTGTTTATTTTATTTAACTTTATTTAATTTTTTATTTAATTTAATTTTTTATTTTATATTAATTTCTTATTTTAAATCCATCTAATTTTTTACACTATTTTTTAATTTAATTTAATTTTAAACTTTTCATATTATTTTATATTTGTTTATTTTATTTTATTAATTTCAGTGAATTCTTTTTTTTAATTTAATTTAATTAGTTTTACTTTTTTTTATTATATTTTGATTTATTGAATTTTTTGCTTTAGATTTCGTTTAATTTGTTTTAAATTTAATTGGTTTAATTTTTTAATCAAATTTTTAATTTGATTTGATTTTAAATTTTTTTATTTTTTATTTAATTTAACTTAATCTCGTTTACTTGATTTTTGTTTATTTTATTTCCTTTTACTTTAATTTATTTTCTTATTTTTTATTTAATTTAATTAATCTTACCTTATTATTTATTTTATTTAAAACTTACTGTTTAGATTACTTTATTTTAATTAAATGAGTCTAATTTGATTTAGTTTAATTTGTTTTAAATTTAATTGGTCACAATTAGTTTTATTTTCTTTGAATCTAATTTAATGTGATTTTAAATTCACTTATTTTTTATTTAATTCAAATTATTTTATTTATGCAATTTTATTTTATTTAATCTAATTTAATTTAATTTTTAATTTTTTTGCTTCTATGTTATATTATTTTATTTCATTTTAATTTTTTTAAATTGATTTTTTTATTTATTTATTTTTATAATTGTTTTTTGAATTTTATTTTAATTAATTTAAGCAAATTTCTATTTGGGTTTATGGGACTTCACATAACCTCACATAAAAATTATTCAGCAGGCCACACCACAAGCTCACGACGCGAGATATAACGCCTTCCAAAAGTTTTCTACAATGAAATGTTTCTTTCGTTTGTCGTGTGGCTGTATAGCGATTTATTTTTTCATTTCATTTTATTTTATTTTAGTTTATTTTTAATATTTGTTTTTTTTTTTTATTTATTTTTTATTGTTTGTTATTGGTTTGTTTTCATTATACTTTTGAATTTTTTAAATTTTAGTTCATTGTTCATTTAATTATATTTTATTTTATGCTATTTTATACAATTAGTTTATTTTATTTTATTTTAATTTACATATTTCTTTATTATAATAGATTTTTTTAATTTAATTTAATTTTGAATTCCATTTAATTTGCTTTAATTTTGCCTTGTTTTTGTTTTATTTTAATTTTTTATTTTAAATTAATTTAATTGTAAACTACCTTATTTTTATACAAAATTATCTCTTGTTTTTTATTTTAGTTTATTTTATTTTGTTTCGAATAATTATCTTTTATTTTGCTTATTATAATTTTCTTATATTTTATTTTATTACATATTATTTAATTTTATTTTTTTTTTTACTTATTTTGTGTAGGTCTATTTCATTTTAATTTCTTTTGTTTTTTATTATTTTATTTGATTTTATTTTGTTTCTTATTTTAATTAGTTTTATTATTTTTATATTTTTTTTTTTTATTTATTTTATTTACATTTAATTTACATTAATATTTGATTTCGTTTTTGCTTATTTTTTCCCCTTAATTTTTAGCTGTTTCCACAAAATTAATTCAACACTGCGTATACTTAACATGAGCTAAAGCTTACTAGTCTAACGGTGTATATGGAAAAAACGAAAAAGCGAGGGCATCGTATCTGCTCAATTCTCAAGGCGCGAAGTGTGTACGAATCACTCAAAGGGCACTTTCTAAGTGGTGTTGTTGCAACATTTTTTTTGTTTCATTATCGCAAAGATGTCGCAAGAGTACAGCTACATACACGTACACTTATGTACATATATAATATTATGCAACTGTTTATGCGAAAATGCGAAATAATTGAAACAAAACTTTTATGGAAACTTGTCTGGCAGGTTTTATTCTTACAATGAGGCTAACGTGCTGCAACAACTCAATGGTATTTAAGTATGAAAAAAAGAAATGTAAAAAACAATTGGAAAGTGTTGCTTTTTAACACATTAAATACATTGTATTTAAGCAAAGTTCGCAATACTTTCTCCTCCAGTATTTGCTGGCAGTCTGAGGCGCTGTTGTAATGAAATTGTCGTAGATAAATCGAATTTTAATCTCATTTCTATAACTGTTAACTGCAAATAGATTTTTATTTAATTTTTTTTTTTTTGTTAAAACTTTCATGTTTGTATGTACATAAACTGTATTTTCCATAACTAAGGTGTATTTAATACAATAAATAACTGTAGCAGAGAAGAATGTGTGCACTTAACACATACATGCGTACATAATATACACTACAGCTACACTAAATATAAAAAAACTGAAAAATTTTTCAGTTTCAGTTTCAGTTGTGAACAAATACAATACCAAAGTCAATAAGAGAATATTGTGCCAATTTAGTTAAGCTTAACCCTCTGAGCACTGAGTTTTGCTGTTAGAAAAGAAAGAGTAAAAAAAAAAAAGAAAAATAATTTTAAGGAATCCATTCGCAAAGAAACTCTTCAGTTGAGCTTAGAGTTCCTTCACTACATGAATTCTTCAGATTTCGTGCATTTCTTTTGCTTTTTTTTGCAGCATAAATGGCGGCTAAATTTTCTTTATTTCATTATTTTTATTATTCCACAGTTTTTTCTTCGAAACAGTTCTTCATAATCGGCACAAAATTCTAAAACTTCAAAAACTAACCACAAAAAAGTACTTGCAGCCGTCTTAAGTTCCTACGATACGTGTAGTCCCCACTGAGAGGTTAAGGGTTAATTATTAATTATACGCAGTGTTTTTCTATATAAATGAGCTTAATAATTATCATGCTTTAGTTCGTAGCAATTAGTTAAGTTATAATTCCGCCCTATTCGTATAACGGTTGCCAAAAGAAATGTTTAAGTTGTGGTTGAAATTTCAAATATTTTTAGCCGTCGGCAGCGTTTTGGGTAAGTGTATTTAAAATGCCGTTGCTTTTAACCGAAAAAAAACTTTAAAGTCGTCAAGAAGGCGGTTTGTGTAGGCCCTTATATGTTTCGGCTATTTTTGCAAAGCTCAGCGTACAGCGATTAGTTGGTTAATGGTGGATTTTGAAAATTTAGTTTCACCTGCGGATGGAGGGTTCTACAGTTTAAAGTCGCTGCCGAACGGTTGAATAGTGACTCCATAAGCCAAGCGTTCTGAGTATGTTGAATTCAGATTCAGAATTCAGAATTATAGAAAATGTAATTTAAAAAGTCTATTTTTCTAAAGAGAATTTTTCTTAGAGATAGAATTTAATATTAATACCAAGAACTTAGCTTTATTACAAAGATCAGGGTTTGTCACTCATTTTTCGGGCAACTAATAAATTGCCGCCGTTGTGCCTCAATCTTAAGTCACCGCGTGCTGTATGCCTGTAATAACGCACAGAATATTCTTTTTCAAGACGTGAATCGTCTCGGGTTTATGCGACTTCACATAACCACACAAAAAAATTATTCAGCAGGCCACACCGCAAGCTCACGACGCGAGATAATGCGCTTACCAAAAGTTTTCTACAATAAAATGATTCTTTCGTTTGTCGTGTGGCTGTATAGCGCCGTCTTCTTGATACCTCTAATGCAGGCACATGACCGTCATTAATCATGACTCTTTAGAGTTCCCTATGGACTGTAACATTAAGACCGACTTCATTTTTGAAGAAATCTGAGCTATTGATTCCTCTGCCCATAGAGCACATCCAATTGACTTTTGGAGAATGTAACGGCGTCGTAATCGAAGCGCAAATCGGTGTGATAATGAACGAAATATCTTCTGTCATCAAACAAATAATTATCGCATTCGAAGCTCGGCTTCCACGTCATAACCTTAATCGTAAATGTCACCCTTGAAATCCAACACAAAATCACACTTACCCGCAGGTGCTACTTTGAACTGTGTTGGTAATTGAAAAGTAAGGCTCGCTCTTAACGATGAAAGACTAATAAACTCTGCAAGTCGCTCCCTCTTGCTTGGCGTTGAACATTTTTGTGAGAGAGGTTTTGCTTAATATTTATAGAACGGATGGTTAAGAATTGAGCTTTGAGAGATTTCGATGCTTTAACTGCCGGCGGAAGTAAAGGAAACGAAGGCGTGAACTTCGTGGGGAAGATAAGGTGGCGAAGGTCCTGGCTGTAGTTGGTATTTTCTCTTCCTCCCCCACACAGTTTTTCTAATTTTTGGTTCGAGCCCCGATATGGTCGTGTTATGGAACATTGTGGGATCTTCGTTCATAAGCCTGGAATAGTTTCAAATTTATCTAAACCTCGATCCGCTGATTAGCTTCTTCTTACAATTTCTTCTTTCTCAATTGGCCAACGAGATCCAAGTAGTTTAATGGTACTTTATACATTTACTACAAAAGGAACCTTTGAATGACGGTGTGATGGTGATGCTTGACCTTAACCAACTGAATTGAGGCATTTTTCTTATTAAAAGCCCACATATTCCACTTAGCCGTCCACAAATCAATCTTCGAAAAGTAAAGATCATTTGGTGAGTTGGTTTTATGCTACGTCTGCTTTCTTGCCACCTTATTTTTCTCTGTTTGGATGCCTTAGATCTACGCAATCGTAGCCTCTTGTAGCAAAGAACTTTTCTGCTAGTAAAGACTACGGCTGCTCCCTTCCACGAAGTTCACCTTAATATATTTTCTCAGACCTTCTACTATCAGTCTCGAATATGTTTGAGATCTCGCGAACTTTTGGTGAAAGCCAAAGAATGCACTTTTGTGTGATAAGAAGCTGCGGACACGTATTACTGTGGACGTAAATTCCATGAAAAGCTCATAATTTCTTGAAACATTTTAAATTTAATTATCAATTCAAAATAATAAAATTCCAATATACAATATTTCCCAACCCAGCCGACCCCTGCACTATATCTATACCAACGGACTTACCGGATCCTCAACCCGTCTTTGTAACACAGCAAGGACTATTCCGGCCGATTAATCAAGTAACCGAAGTGCAAGAGGGCGAGGAGCTCACATTGCACTGCGCTGGTAAGGGCAATGTAGTGGTACCTCTCAAGCAACAAACAGTCACGCTAGTTTGTCGTGGTGGAGATTTCTACAATACAGAAACGGACGAACAACAAACACTTAAAGATCTGAAATGTACGCGTATACCAACCTCGGAGCTGCAGGCAACAGAAACCAGTTGTGCTGACGGCGCCGGTGTCTTCTACGAAGTGGGCTTCCTGGTGAACGATAATTTCCATAGCGTTTTCACAATTTGCTACGACAGTGCAAACGAGCACACGATCTATTCACGCAGTCTCGTCAATGGTGCAGCACAGAGTTGTAAGTGAAGCGCCTGTGATGGTGATTTAAATATTTTGATAGCTAAAAAATGTTGCTTTTTTCTTCCTACGTCTAGTCAAAATAAACGACAGCACCCGTCGCGCATTCAAAGCCGATGGACTGCGTTTCTCCACCACGGCAACGAATAATTTCTACGTGAATAAAAACCAGAAATCGCGTTTCGCATCCTACTTTGGCGCTAAACAAGCGTTCGTAAACAGGACTAGCTTCCTCGCACGTGGTCATATGGCACCCGATGCTGATTTCGTTTTCAGCTACGAACAGTTGGCCACCTACTATTACGCCAACTGTGCGCCGGAATGGCAGGTGGTGAATGCCGGCAACTGGTTGCGCGTAGAGAATGCCGTTCGCAAGCTGGCCTCTCAACTGGGCTCCGATGTACTCACATATACCAGCACTTTGGGTGTGTTGGAGTTAACAAATCCCACGGATAATAAAGAGACGCAAATTTATTTGGATAAAACCGAATTGATTCCAGCACCAGAATGGTATTATAAAATCGTAATGCATCCAAGTCTTGCCGCTGACGTAGTCTTCATCACACGTAATAATCCATTCGAAGATGTTGGCAAAGAGGTGGAGTTTTGTACGAATGTTTGTGATAAGTACGATTTAGATTTGAGCTATTATGAGGACTCACGTCATGGATACACATTTTGCTGTGAGTTGAATGATTTCTGGGTAGCCGCTATGAATACTGACAGCCCGAATTTCGATCTACCAGATGGCTGGAGTTATAAGAATTAATGGGAAAGATCTCGCTCTCGCTCTTTCTCTCTCTCTCTCTTTTTTAAATAAATGCAAAAAAAGCAAGTAAAATACTTTATTTTTTTTTTTCAATTCGTTAGTTAAAACCAGGAAAAAGAGGATTCAGAATACAGCTTGAGATTCTCTTTGAAAGGGAATAAGCTCAGTTGGGATTCATGGAATATATATAATATTATGAATCATGACTTAAAGGAGTTGACAATGACAATCTGCCTACAAGTATTGACGAAACCGACCAGATTTTTTCACACTCAGACTTCTGGTTGCAGGAAACAAAGAGCAGACGAGTTTATAAGGCATAATACACCAAGGTTCTCGCAGGTACCCACAGGTAGGGCGCTTGAAAGTAAAACTACTATTCGGCATGAACAATATGGCAGTTTGTGCTCTCTGAAAAGGGTGTCCCTGTACATACATATGCTACAACGAAGATATGGTTAGTGATTAGGTAAAAAGGGAGGTATGGAGAAAGTAAAAAAACTAGTTTAGGTCAAGTGGAGTTTCTTTTTCAGATATCTGGATTTCAAAATATAATCGCTAAGTTGCAGATGCAGACCAGAATTCATACAGATTAAGTAGAAGCTTCCGTTATACCTAAAGAGGATATTAATGAGTTACAAGGGTGGATTTAAAGGGCTTGAGACAATGATAAAAGGTTAGGTTCTGAGAAGAAAGGAAGCTGCTAAGCATATTGAGGGCGAATACTCAGCAAGAAACCTCTTCATCGTCAGTGACACTCAGGTAGATATTGAAGTTCTAGACACGATCATGACTAACTCTATAATCGTACTGTACTGTCGTAGATCTCTATCAGGAAGGGATAGTTTGTATAGAAAAGGTTAAATCTCGTTTTGGTCCCTTTGGTATATATATATATATAAATAAAAAAAAAATTAATAAAGAGATCAAAAAATACACAGAAATAAAAATAAATAAAAAAATTAAAATAAATTAATAAAAAAGAAAAATAATAATAAAAAAGGAAAATAATAATAAAAAATAATAAAAATAAAAAAATTAAATAAAATTTGTTCTATACTTGCATATTTTATATACTATATTTATTTATATTGAATATCTTTATTTCATATTTTAAACATAGATATGTATGTACATTTGTTAATTTAACTATATTTACAATAATATGTACATATGTATATAGAAATATGTGTATACATATTTACGTTTGTATCAAAATTAAACTACAAATTAATATCAACAATTTTTTGGCTATGTACAAAAAGTCTAACATTACATACATACACATATGTATGTACAAAATATGTATGTACCTATGTATATATTTAAATATCGTAAAGCATATCTAGTGCATAATACATATATGAAAATGTGAAATTCATAAAATATTAAAAAAACAAATTAATTCAGAATTTTCAGTTTTACACTAACATAAATATACACGTAGTATGTATGTAAATATATAAATAAAAAATTAAAAAATAAATACACTTGCGGTAAAAATGTTAACAAACTACATACATACATAGTAGGAAAATAATCATTTTTATATTTATTTAAACTACCATATGCAGTTAGTTTCAGAGGCTTGCGACGGTAGAGAAATTTTCCATTCATATACATACATATTTGCATGTACATATAAGTGTTAAGCTAAAATTTTTCTATTTACACATATGTTTATTTAAATAAATATATGTATGTATATGTATAATTTAACTTAAAACTCTGACTACATTAATTTCAATTTATTTACAAAAGTCTTTTTCTTAAACATATTTCTAAAACAAAAATAAAAACAACAAGCACTGATGTTTTGTTTTAGTCTACACAAAGTTGCTATGCATACATATAAAATCCCAAATTTTTTTTTTCAGTATTTATCTATATGTACATATATGTATGTACTAAGTTCGCCCGACAATCATTTTGAGCGTTTTTAAAGCGCAAATTATATTTATACAACTTTATTTAGTTTATAAGACAAATAATATACATACATACATATGTATTTACTTTGCTGCCAGCAGCAATTCAACACGCACACACACATACAAATACATTACATAAATTTACGCTACAATTATCAAGCAATAAATACGTTACTGGCGCTATATGCTTCTTCTTCATACATTTACTTTTCTTTCGGCGTCAAAAAAGAGTTTTCGTTTACTTTTCGAAATCGTTCAAAACTGGATCTGTCTCATGATAACTAAAATTTCCTTTTTAGTTTTTTTCTTTTTGTTTAACACTATATAACAATTTGTTTTAAATAATTGAATTGATAAATGCGTTAGATTCAGATTAAATACATACAAACGAGTATGTATGTATGTAGTTGATGAAATGTTAAAAGGTGCCAAATCATGATTGTTGAATTTCAACACTTTTTAGTGCGTTTAAATAAATTTTAAAATTTTTTTTTATAATTTTAAAAATTTTTCTTTGTAAAATTTATACATTTCAATGCATTTACTGTTAGCAAAAACCGTTATTTCGCATTTATTAAAAGAAGCTTTCTTTGTTACTCTGAATCATCACTAAAAAGGCCAAATAAATTGAAATTAATAGAAAAAACTAAATTTTCAAAATACAAAAATAATCACTAAAACCGTCAAAACTTTAAAAATTCACTAAAAAATCATCACTAAACGAAATGCATATAAAAAACTAAAAATTCCGATGTTTGTTCGAGTTACTAACTTCAAAACTATTTAATTTCAAAATGAAATATTTAAAACTGCAAGTCATCAGCTGAATAGAAAAAAACTCAACATGAAAAACACAAGATTTCGATTTTTGTTTGAATTTTGAACTTCAAGACTACTTAATTTTAAAATATAATATTTAAGAAAAATAAAAAAAAAAATTAATTACGATAAACTTGACCGCTTCCAACTTTTTTACCTTTCATCAACTAAACATGAATATGTATTTACGTTTACATATACCTAAATATGACAATCAGATTCGAGTTGAAATTGAAATTGTTATTATTTTTTCTTCTTTTGAAAAAAAATTATTATTATTTGTTTTAGTGAAATTATTTTCATTGCTTAAAAAGCTTTTCCTAACCAATTGTAATTTTCAGTCCAGCATTAACCCGGTTCACTGGGCTTCGAGCACCGAATTCCACTGACCGCCTCCAATATTTCAATCTCATAAGAGTGTTTTGTGTATAGATAATTTTTGATTCAAGTCGAGAAGCACATTCTCATCACATCAAAAGCACAGTATATCTAAGTGTATATGACCAGCTTCGTAGGAGACTATCGTTCAAAAATTATCTCTCACTCCTACTTTTGTTGAGTTTCGCCAATAAAATTCTCTCTCGAAAGAAAACTGTACAATTTTCCACGCTTAAAAATAAGCAGTTATCACAAGACCGTTGCGTTGCCATCACACTTTGAACACCATTCAACTGTACATACGTCGGGCAGCCTTAAGGCGTCAACGACACATAAAAGCTGAGTAATATTTCCATTTACTCTTAAGAAGCGCATTCCATAGGTTAAGCAATTGGTTGAGTACTCTCCTTAGTAGACCAACATAGACAATAGTTATGATGGTCTATGCGGTGACTGTCATGACACGACCCAAGAGTGCACAATTCCTAAAAGTAGTATAAAGAAATGCTTGAGAATATTTAATAATTTTTTTTTTAAATCAACCAACAACTTACTGTTCTCGCCTGGAGATAAAGTGATATGTATATTTTCCCGCCTTAATATGGGTTCTAAAAAAATAAAACAGAAGGCTAGTGGACACTTTATTAAATAAAAAAAAAATTATTTTTCGCTAAAGCAAAGCTTTTATTATTTTTTGTATTATTTCGGCGCAATCAAATTCAAGCAGCAAAGAAAAGACGTTACGAAATCAATTCAAACCACAGTTTTCAGGCATAAAATGGAAAATTTTCTTTTAAAATACATTTATTTCTTTTTGCTTATAATATAATTGTTAGCATAACATATATACACGTAATTATAAACAATTAATTTATTTATATGACTGACTGCAATTTAAGTAAAGAAAAAATAAAAAATATAAATAATAGAATAATAATATGCATATAAAAAAATAAACAAAATAAAAATAATTAATAAAAGTATTAAGAAATGAAAAAAACTAAAAGTATACCTAAAATAATAAAAAATTATAAAGTTTTAATCAAAAAATTAATAAATTAAAAATAAGAAATAAAAAATTAATAAAACAAATAAATAATAGCTAAAAAAATAAAAAAATAAATAAATAAATAAAAAGATAATAAATAAAATAATAAAAAATTAAGAGTAAAAAGAAATAAAAAAATAATAATAAATAAGAGAAAATAATAAATAAAAAACATTCAAAAATAAAAAACAAAAATAGTAATTAAGGAAACTTAATAGAAAAAAATAAATAAAAAAATATAAGTGAAAAATAAAAATTAATAATTTAAAAAAAATAATAACAATTATTAAAAAATGTAAAATTTGATAAATATAAAAAAAATAAAAAAAACTTGTTAAATAAATCAAAAAGTAAGAAAATTAATAAGTAAAAAAATAATACAATAGATTAATAACGTACGACTAATATATAATAAAATTAAAAAAAGTAATAAACAAAAAAATAATAATGGTGAAAACTAATAATAATTAATATTATTAATATATTTTTTTTTTATTTATTAAACTTTTTCAAATTTTATTATTTAGCTTTTATTTCAATTTTATTATTTTTAAAGTTTTTTATTTCAGTTTTATATTTACCTCTATTAATTTTTGAACTATTAATTTTCTTATTTATTATTTTTGTCATAGTTATTTTTTTGTCTACTAATTTTTATGTTTAATTGTTAATTTTCATTTATTAAACTTTTTCGTATATATTTTAATAATTGTTATATTTTTTTTATAAATTAATAAATAAACATAAACAAAATAGCAAATAAAGTTATAAAATAAAAAAAATTAAAATAAAAAAATAATAATAAACTACAACAAATAATAATAAGTAAGAAATTTAAGGAAATCAAAATAAGCTAATGAACAAAAAATAAAATAAAAAACCTAAAAAAAAAACATACAACCATGGCAGGCTCAAAATATAAGCTATAGATATACTAATTTCTTTTTTAATAATATAAAGCAGTACAGGGAATATTTACAACGAATTTCATAATACCTCAAATAATTTTAAAACCTATTTTTTGCGTCTTACCGATGATATCTAAAAGCTCCTACATATCATTTAATTGTTTATTTTATAAATAATTAAATTACGTATATATGTATGCTTGTATCTCTTTTGAGTTATTTTTATAGATATATAATACACTAATCATTTCCCTTCGTTCGTTCGATCGTCGCTTTTTTCCAGCAATCGGCTGTTGAAAACTGCATTTTTAAACCCTTTTAGAACTTTTTCAAGACACGCAAGGATATTAAAGTAAATTTTTACATTACATGTTTGCTTTAAAAAAAATTATAAGAAAATTAAATAATAAAAAATGAGTTGAAATACTTAAAACCCTGCTGTAAATACTACAAATCCTAATAATTAAAAAATAATAATGATTTATTTTTTCAGTTAGTACATTTTTTATATATTTAGTAAATGGCTTAATTTTTATTCGTTTATAATGACTATAATTCATAATGTATGTATGTATTTACATTGGTATTTATCATTTTTTTTTTTTTGTTAAGTTTTGTTTAGTAAATAGTTTAATGCTTTGAGGAGTTACTAGCGCTAATTAATAATAATATTATTATATATTTATTTGAAATTCATACAACTATTTCGTTTTTAAATTATTTATTTATAAATAATCTATTTATAGTACTAAATTTCGGTGTCTCAAATGCATTGTTTGATAGACTTTTTTCGTTCGTTTCAAATAATTTTTATTTACAGTTTATTTTTTATTTTTATTATTTTTGTTTTATTTTTTATTAATTTATTTATAATAGATTTTAGTTTTATAACCTGATTATTGAAATTTTGTTTTACATTTTTTTCATTTTTTTTTTATTAATAATTTCTTATTTTATTTATTTTTTTATTAATTTTATTTTATTTTATTGTTTATTTTATTTATTTATTATTATTTACAATTGTTTATATTCTTTATTATTTATGTATTTTTTTTATTTATATATTTTTATTTGATATAAATCTTTTATATTTTTTTTTATTTATTTTTTTATTTTATTTATATAATATTTTTTTAGTTTATTTATATTTATTTATTTACATTTTATGTTATTTATGCATTTTAATTCTATTTAAATGTTTTATTCAACTTTATTTATAGTTCTTTGTTTAATTTTTTGTTCTTATTTTTCATTTGCCTTGTTTTTTCTATTATCCAATTTACTCACTACACTTGTTTCTTTACTTTATCACAGTTTCAAATAACAACTTATTATTTTTTTGGTCTAAGTTGTTGGTATGTATGTATATTGACATACATTTATATGCAGTTTAAGTGAATTTTTATTTCACTAAATTAGTTGGTTGAACAAAAATATTGTGGCGGAGCAATAAGAATGCGCTTAATTAATTGAAAGGAGTTTTTAAATAAGAAGTAAATTATTGTTTTGTTTAAAAAAAAAATAATTGCTAATAGGAAGAAAAAAGTTAAAAAAAAATTAAATAAGAGTAAAGAAATCATAATTAAAAAATGTGATTTTTAATGAAAAAAAAAAATATTTATATAAATATATTAAGTAAAAATTTTAAAATTGTAAAAAATAAAATAAAATCAAATAACAAAAAAAATATTAAAAAAAAAACATAATTAAAAGATTATACAAAAAGTTATGGTTAAATTAAAAAAAGTTAATATTCACGCGCTAACAAAAGCTTATGAACTGCATGCAAAAAATTATAATAAAGAATTGGAAAACAAACATTTGAATGTATAGAACTGTGCTTAACATTAACCTGCAACTACAAAAACAAGTATACAAATAAACATTATACAGTTTCGTTAAGTTTTAAATAGAAAAAAAAAATTTCGTTATCTGCGCTTAACAACTATTTATTAATTAATTTAGCAAAATTGCAAATAATGTAAAAAAAAATTAAATTAACAAAACATTTCGCCATGCAAGCCACAACAACATGCAGCGCTTTACTCAGCAGCAACGGTACGTGCAGCCGACGTCGGCGAATTGCTCGCTGACGGCGAACCCGAGCCGTGCGCAATAGCGGTTGGTGTCGCTGCTGTTAGTGCCGCCGCAGCGGCAGCCGCTGTCGCTGAGTTGTGTCTTATTAGAGCACCATGTGCTGGCACAGCTGCCGCTGCCGCGGCACCAACGCCTCCACATGCCCCCGCACTCGGCACTATGCGTATCGTACCCGGTATTATGCGCACACATTCACATGTCTCGCATATGTTCAATTGTGGATGATTGAGGAATGTACACATGGAGCATGCCCAACGGTCGAGCGGTTCATAATCATCACCGCCATCCGTATTCGAATCGGAGTAGTCTTCCTCGTCTGTGGATGGCTGTTGATATGGTAGTGATGCTGGCGCCGCATGACCGGTGGTTTGGTTGTAGAGTGGCGAGTGTTGCAAATGGAGTGGTGTGTTCGTTGTGCAGGGTGTGCTCGAGTGCACGCTGCTACTACCACTGCCAGGCGTGTTGTGGTGTTGTTCAGTCTGCGGGTATTGATAAGGGCTTTGCGGTTGGGATTGCTGCTGCTGCTGCTGCTGCTGCTGCTGCTGCAGTATTGGTGGTGGTGGTCGTGGTGGCCGTTGACGTAGGAATGCTTGTTGTTGCTGTTGCTGCTGCAATTTCAGTCGGTCCGCTTCGTTTAACTGGCCTGTAAGTTGGGCAATGGGTGAGTTTTATTAAGATTTTTTTGTTCTGATATAATAATGTTCCTACCATATCGTCTGATATTTTCGATTTCATTCAGCATTTGCTGACAATCGTTGCGCAATCTCTCTATCTCATAATCTAGCCGACTAGACTCGCTGGGGTTCAGGGGCTCGGTTAGCATATTAATCTCCTCCTCAACATCGCCAATCTTCTTTTTGTTCTCACGCAGCGCCGTGGCCAACTTGTCGCGACGGGTTTTCTGACGTTTTATCGTCTCGATGAAAACTGCAAAAGAAAAGGAGTAAAATGTTGATAACTCATTTATTATTATATAGCTTTTATATCTTCATCAGTATAAAGAATTAATAAAAAAAAAAGGATTTCCTTGACTTGGTTTTTTGAAAATAGATGCTTCTGCTGTTGTTGATGTCCGTTGACCAGGTTTTTGATGAGACTTGGCTAGGCCATGCCATCGAAATCACATCTAACACATCTCCCTGGAAACGGATAGTTTCAACGGGCTTAGAGAGAGTCGGTTTCAGGGGACATGTAAAGAGGGTGTCCGAAGATATGGATATGGTTTAATAAAGATGGTTGGGACTCCGCTTGCGGGAAACACGGTGGACACCTACCTAATTGAGTACTTGCATTGAGTAATCATCCCAGTGGCACAGCCGTAGAAGCATAAGAAGTTGACAACATGGGGTCATGTGCTGAGTAGGTCTTAAGATTACCCCAATTATTGCAGATGTTGCAACCAACGAAGGTTAAAGAACGATGTAGACGTCTAAGGCAAATAAAAACAAATATTCTGTCTGATCAGATTCGGTTTCAACGAAAGCCCAGATCAGAAGGATTTGCAGCAAGGTGTTGTTCTCCTCATATATTTACATACATATCAACCTGTGACTTTCGGCCGTACTCCTTCTCGACTTCGCTCTGCCGCCACTGAACGGTTGATGAATGTTCAAGAGGAGTATTTTATTTTCAAGTCGGCAATAACACTCGGACGGCTTGACATTCCTTGCCGAGCGGTCATTGCTCTGATCACAATTCGAGCATTAGACCCGCCACATTGAAAAACGCTCCAGACCACTCAGTTTTTTTTTCGGTGGGTATGTGGAGCCCTTGGGCGGACGAACCGGATTCTTATAGAAAATATACAAATATTTCAAAACCCCTAACTAGAAACATCAAAACTTAAATAGAGTCCAGAAATAGAAGAAAAAAATTAATCTCAACAAAGAAGAGTTATTTTCGAATTAAATAAAATAAAAAAACATAAATTTATTAAAAAAAAATTAAATTAAATTATTTTAAAAATTAATAGAAAATTAGAATTTATTATGCGCGAAACAAGAAAACTAATAAAAGTGTGTCTATTGCACAAGAGGGCATAGTTTTTACAAAAAAAAAATATATATGGTTAAGTAAGCATTCTTCCATATCACCGGCGCTAACATACATACCTACATTTATAAATGGAATTTCACTCGACGAAAATCATTGACAATGGCAACTCAACTCACTTCATTCCATTCAAAACACATACATACATATGCATATGTATATACAACACGCCCACGTTATTGCTATGAAAAAAGAATAATTGAGTTATGTATGTTTAGCGCTGTCGGACAAGTCGTAAAGCATCAACTGAAATACAGCAGAAATTAATTTTTAATCCGATAAACTGTGGTGAATTCCCCTCCTAACCCACTGACGTCCTTTCTTTTTTGTTTTTTTTTTTTTTAGAAAAATAAAATAAACATAGAAATACAAAAAAATTTTAATTTGTCGATTTTCAAATACATATGTATATTATAGAAAATCCATGGAAAAAATTAAATTCTTGGAATTGTACGATCGTAAATCTTATTTTATAAAGTTTTGTTATTTTTCCTTTCAGCTGTTTTATTGTGTTATGAGATTTATTTTTGGTATTGCAAAAATAGCTATCAACCACAGAAAAAGTATAAAAGTAAAAATAAATACAAAAATAAATAAAAAATAAAAGGAAACTCAAAAAAAAAAAAAATTAAAAAATATAAAAATTTAAGAATTTTCGCAAAAAAATAGAATACAAATGCCATAAAACCAAACAAAAGAAATTAAAAATGTTTAACAAATTAATAAACATTCTTGCGCATTTTTATCTGTGTTCTAATAATAATTTAATGGCATTAAAGTGGCCGAAAGCGTGAATTTAGGTATGGTAACAATGTTGCATGTGTGTGTGTTAGTAGTTTGTTCAGGAGCAAAGGCAGTGTTTCTAGGTGGATGCTGGAAAGGAAAATAAGGAAACAGTCTGACAAGGACTGAAAAAGCTTAAAAAATAACAGAGAGCAAAATTTAATAGAACTAAGCTTATTGGATATATTCTAAGGACTAAAAATAAAACGAGACCAAAGGTTTAAACTAAACGTTTAAAAATAAAAAAAATTAAGACAACAAAATAAATAAAAAAATAAGAAAAAAAGTTAAAATTTAAAAAAAAAAAAGAATTTAGAAAAAAATAAATTAATTACAAAAAAAAAAATAAATTAAAAAAAAATAAAAGAAAATAAGGAAAAAAGTAATAATTAAAAAAAAAAAAATTTAACAAAAAAATAATTTAATTAAAAAAAATAAAAGAAAATAAGGAAACAAGTAATAATTAAAAAAGAGAATTAAAAAAAATTAAATAAAAAAAGTACATTAATGAAAAAAAAAATGAATACACAAAAAAAAAAAAAATAAATAAATAAATAAACAAAAAAATTAATAAATAAAAAATCATTAAGAAAAAAATAAAGAAACAAAAAGATTGAGGAAAACATAAATAAATAAAAAAAATAAGAAAAAATAAATAAATAAAAAAATGAAATAAAAATATAAAAAAAATTAAGAAAATTAATATAAATGAATTAAAAAATAATAATAAAAATATAAAAACAAATTTAAAATTTAAAGATATTAAAAATTAATTAAATAATTATACAAGAAATATAAAAATATATAAAATACTAATGTATAATAATGTATATAAGAAAATTAAAAATAAATAAAAAATTAAGACAAAAAAATAAATTAAAAAAATAAGAAAAAAAGTAATAATTAAAAAAAAAGAATTTAGAAAAAAATAAATTAATTAAAAAAAATAAAAGAAAATAAGGAAAAAAGTAATAATTAAAAAAGAGAATTAAAAAAAATTAATTAAAAAAAGTACATTAATGAAAAAAAAAAATAAATAAACAAAAAAAAATAAATAAACAAAAAAATTAATAAATAAAAAGTCATAAAGAAAAAAATAAATAAGCAAAAAGATTAAGAAAAAATTAAATAAATAAAAAAAAAATTAGAAAAAATAAATAAATTTAAATAAATAAATAAAAATATTAAAATAAATAAACAAACCAATGAAATAAAAATATAAAAAAATTAGCAAAAATTAATATAAATGAATAAAAAAAAAATAATAAAAATATAAAAACAAATTAAAAATATAAAAACAAATTAAAAATATAAAAACATTAAAAATTAATTAAATAATTATGCAAGAAATATACAAATATATAAAATACTATTGTATAATAATGTATATAAGAAAATTAAAAATACATAAAAAATTAAATAAATATATGAAAAGGAATAAAAATAAAAAGAGTAAAAATGGTACAAAAAATAAAAACTAAATAAAATAAAATGTAATTAAAAAATTATATAAGAATAACAAAAAAAATTTTTTTAATATAAAAAAATTTAAATAAAAACAAATTAATTTAATTATTAAATAAGATATTTATATATATATTAATTAAAAATAAATAATTTAATACAATCAAAATATAAAAAAAATCAGAATTACCAAAAAAAAACTAAAAACCAACAGAAATTGTAAGAAGAGAACGACAGTGACAGTGCGATTGCAGCAACTAAGTAAGTATGAGTAAAATCAATTTATGCATATACATGCATACATACATGTGCATATGAAAATTTTTTTACATACGCATACATACATATATGCATATGTACGAATCTATGTCTATTTTTCAAACGTTTATTATTCTAAATATAAAATTTTGCATGCTAAATTTAACAACACACCGGAAAGCAAACAAAATATTTATTTACGTGCTAGTTACATCTATATAATACATACATACATACGAGTACATATACAAAAAAAAACATATATTTACGTAAAAATATTCATATGCCGAAATATTGCTATATAATGAACATTCTTTTACATTTTAAACCATTACCCAAAGGTGTTATTTCACTTGCCAATGTATGACTTTCAAATGAAATACTCTTATGTGTATGTGTGTGTATGTATGTATTTAAGCGTTGATATAAATTTTCTTTCAACGGTTGTCGAGCGTATGCCGATCACCGATCAGCGTCATAAACCGCCCACCACACGCTGCGCCATAGCGTGTTTTTTTTTCTGCTCTTCACCTAACGCCGTGGGTCACGAAGGTGGCGCGAGGAAGTTGGCCGACGTGACAGGATTGGCAGTAGAAGACGACGAGCGTGGTAGGTGGCGGACGTGAGTTATGGCAATAATAGTCGCGTGATCAAATGTCAAACATATATGTATGCATATAAATATGTATGTATTATATGAAATGGTTTATTATAATTTTTATTTTTAAAAATATATTAATAAAAATTTAACTACCAGACTAGTTGAACTTGTAGAGCAAAAAAAAAATGGGGGGAGGGGGGAATAAAAGAAGGAAATTAATTATTCCATTATTGTATACGAATAATATAACCTGTTTACATAAATTAAATGATTTTAGCTGAGCAATGAATGATGGAAAATTGAATCGAACAGCGCTTAAATTAAGTGAAAATGATTTAAGAAAATTAAAACACTTTTTTTTACGTAAATGTTCATTTTAGCATAAAGAAAAAATAAATAGATGCAAAAGTTGCAAAAGCTCTTCAAGAAAGACTGAATAACCTTTCAGATTTCCTATAAAGAATACAGGGTTATCCATTTAGCGGGTTTCGAAAACCTAACATAACTAAAACGCATTTAAAATATATTTGTTTTATCACGAAATTACTTTTTTTTATTACAAAGTTTGAACCTTGGCATTATATAATATGTGGAATTCGACATCATTCAAATAAGCGCTTCGGTAATTTTCTAAAACTTCCATCCGTTTGAGGTTATTTTCGACCACTTTTTGACGCAGATTGCGCGGAGTGTCTGCTGTCTGTTGGCTTTTAAGTGATCAAAAGTAAAACTTTCATCCGCATAAAAACAGTCTTTCGAGAATCCAACGGTGTAAAATTGCACGATCTCGGTGGCCAATCGACATCGTCAAGACGAGAGAATATGCGGCCGGGTAATTTCTCTCGCAATAAGGCGGAAAAAGCAAAACGATGAAGCACAGTCCTTACAATATCTATAAGCGATTCAGTCTCTTTAAATTTCTTTCATATTTTATCAATTACTTAAGAAGTTGAACGATTATGTGTACTATAAACTCAACTTCGGGAGGTTCGAATCAGCACTTTTGTAGTAGGTTTTAGCAATTTTAGCGCGTTGTGCGATTGTTAAGGGGCTTTTACTAAAACACTATATTTTATTAATTTTTCCTCCAAGTATGAATCGACCCTAACGGTCAAAAATGTATTTGTCACATCAACCAAAGGAGCCTCAGAGTACTTCAAATGAATTCTGGGATTGAAAAAATAATTTGCAAAAAAAAACTTGTGCTCGGCCTAAAAACAACCGTAACAAAGCGTCTATTAAATGTACATAAATATGTATGTATTTATATTGGAAAGTGTCTTAGAGGCTTTTAAATACTTTAACTAAGCGAAACTAGTATATAAGAGCTATATTTTCCCAAAAAGTGTAAGAACAAATTGAAAACATTTTTTTTTGCGTCTACAATAAAAATATCGTAAACAAAATTAGTGTAAGATAAAAAAAAGTTGGCGTAAATGGAAAAAAAATCACTAAAAATTGCCCTGAACTTGAATGTACAAAGCAGAGAAAAATCGTTTTGGTAAAAATAAAAAAAAAAACAATAGAAAAATAAATAAATAGAAAGCGCGACAAACAGTCAAGCACGCAAATAAACATAAGTTTGTATGTATGTAGTATAAACGTGTCTACATATGCACATATATACGTATATAACACGTCACATTTAAAAAAAGCGTACGTTTGCAAAATCGCTGACGACACGCATACCTACAAATATAACAAAAAAAATAGAGAAACAACGGAGATAAAGCACTAAATAAATAAAAAATACAATTTTTCAAATTAACAGTACAACAAGAATATAGAAAAGTTAACTTAATGCAATTTTCTTATTAATTTCACTAAGTTTATTTGCCTTTGAGTGCGCCTCCTTTGCATAAGCAAGTTTGTTAAATCATTTACAAGAAGGTGCTTAGGAAATATACACGTATATATATGTGTACATATATATTTCTTGGAAAACCTTAACGATTCGGCGAAATAATAAACAGTTGATTGAATTTTTTTTAATCTATTATTAATTATGTCTTGTCAAAAAAAAAAACAAAAAAAAATTAAAAAAAAAATTAGAACGTTTATTTATAATATAAAACGAATATTAGGGTGTTCTCCATTTGAAGAAGAAAAAAAGCAGTAAAGTAAGTTAAAGTAAAATAATATCAATTCAAATAAAATGGCTTAAATGAAAAACAAAAACAAAGTAAAATAAAATACAACAAAACAAGTTAAAATGAATTAAAATAAAATAAAACAAAAAAAATTAAAAGTTGAAATTAAATATAGACTAAGAGAATAAAATTAATTATAAATGATGCTTTGTAACGCTAAAGCAATTTTTGGCCGAAAATATCAATTAAATATATAAAAAATAATAAAATTAAATAAAAATAAAATAAATAAAATTATAAAAAATAAATAAATTAAATTAAATTGAACAAAAAATATTAAGCAAACAGTATGGAATAAAATATAAAAGTTTCGAATAAATTAAAAATAAATAAACGGAATGAAATAAAAAGACAATACTTTGAAATCAAGTTAAATTAAATAAAAAGTTAAGTAAAATAAAATTAAATGAAATAGGTGGAATTAAAATAAAATACATTAAATAATAATAAAATATTAATTATCAAACTAAAATGTATTAAAAGAAAATCTGAATAAATTAAAATTTAATTATAAAAATATAATAATGAAAAAATTTATTAAAATAAATTTTAATTGCAGCAAATAAAAATAAAGCAAAATACAAAAAAGTAAAATCAAGCTAAATAAAAAATAATGTACAATAAAATAGAATAAATTTCAATAAATCAGAAATAATAAAAAAATTATTAAATAAAAATCAAATGAAAAGAATTCAGTAAAATAAAACTGTAGGAAAAATTGAAATATTTAGACTGAATAAAATAGCGTATAATGAAATAAAATAAAAAATTAAATATTATATATTAAACCAAATTTTGATGTATAAAAAAATCAAATAAAATATTTAAAGTAATTTTAAATTGTATTAAATAAAAAGAAAAGGTGAAAGACAATAGGGATAAATAAAATAAAATAAATAAAATAAGCAAATAAATTAAATAAAAAATAAAGTATAATGAAATGGATTGAAATAAAACGAAGAAATAAAAAAATAAAAGTAAAAAAAAAATAAATTAAAAATAAATAAAAAAATAAATAAAATAAATCAATTAAAGAAACCTAATTCGTTTGAGTGATATAATATTATATTTATATAGGGTGTATTTTTTTTAGACATGGGGTTTACAATGAGGTAGTATTTTTCGGAGTTGGTAATTTTACCAGCTGCTATTCGATGTATACTCATTTTTTATTGTCATTTCTTAAGGAACAGACTTACTCCAGCCTAAAGTTTACAAATAGTGGTGAACGGGTGCGAAACCCAATGGCTACCGTTCCCGATTTTCACAAGTAAAATTTGTTCAACAATAAAGCTTACTCTTGGCTGCTTAAGGCACCCAGGCCATGTATAAAATTGGATTGATGATAATCCACATGCCCTTGCTGAGACGCCTTCACATACTCAAAAGCTCACTGCTTGATGTGCTCTATGGGCAGAGCTACAATGGGGAATGACGTAGAGCTTTTTCGAGCCTGAATTAGAGGCTGTTGATGTGGACGACCTTTGGTATATACAATATAGCAATAAACAGCCATACAGCCAATTTATTGAAGAAAACATTTGGTGAGCGCATTATCTCGAGCCATGGGCCTGTGGCGTGATCTCCCAGATTGTGCGACTTAACACCAACGTTATGTGAAGTCGCTGGCCTACGCGGATAAGCCAGGGACGATTGACGCTTGTAAGAGAATATTTAGCATATTGTTCCTGCGAAAAGCGACCGGATATTGAGCCTATAGGCTGGAATTTTTTCTAGGCAGCCGTGATGATCGCTGTTTCTGTAACGTAATGGCAAACCCTTATATTTTTTGGTTTTTCAACCCCTTTCATATTGAAAAACACACTTAGTTTTGTTTTTGCTTAAAAAGAATTTACGTCAGAAACAAAGGCAACTGGTGCTAGTAAACTTACGAGTATATGGCAAAATTATAATCAGTTGGAGACATTGAAAAATATAAAAAATACAAACCGAACAGAGGCAAACAAGTGTGTAAAATTAAGTTTTACTTATTTAGTGAATTTATTTCCTTAGACCAACATCAGGTAAACTGATAAGGAAATTTTCAATACATACATATGTATGTATGTATAATAAGCACCCTGCAGGGAGAAGAGAAACTAGTATTGTCGTTAAATACCAATATTTTCAAAATGAAACCATATCATTTGGATATCTGTTTAGGAGATCACCAGAAGTGGGAGTAAAATAAATTCTACCACCTTGTGTTGTTGTTATATCTAGCATGCCACAGCTGTGTTCTATTATCAGTTGTAGTCTGTTGAAGTGCGCAAAATGACGTTCAGCGATTCAACATCACAATAACTGAGTGGTTAAAGATTCTAGATCACTGTAGCGCTTGGTGTACACGGTTCGACTCTCGCTGCACGCAAACTAAATTTTATATATATATTTACATATTTTGTGAAGTGAAAATCCAACATGTCTAAATGAACTAGTATATAACTAGTACATAACTAATCTGAAACTGAAGCATAGTTGGACATTTGATAGCACGCAGTACATTGCCGCGTTATAGATACCTGTTGCTTACATGCGAAACGGTAACTAGTAGAATTCTAGTTAACAACTAGCATTTTTCCTTACATACCATGCACATATGTACTGGTATATATATTTTTATTGTTTTCGTTTTCCTATTTGCTATTTTAGCTACGAAATGATTGATCCGGTGTTAGAAGAGGACGGCGAAGCAAGTTCAACTTGAAATGATATCGAGGGACGTCGAGGAGCGAAAGGAACCCAGCGAGGGTAGGTAAGCAGATAAACGATCAGAGTATATACTCGTATTAGTTTATTGGAAAAAAAACATCGCCTTAACGTTGTGAGAATGATTGTTATTACGCCGTAAAAATTGTATTGTAATTACCCACAAAGGGTGAGGAACAGCACGCGAAAAAGGCATGTGTGCGGACGACATATAAATTTCGAAAATTGATAAGAGAAATAACAATGAACGCATAAAAATTTCGAAAATTGATAAGAGAAATAACAATGAAACAAAACTGTTCCTCAAATGGTTTTAAAGCAACAAAAATAAACAAAGAAGTCACATGTTAGAGCAAGAAATCCACTTTTAAATGTCTATTTTTACACTAACAATGCTGAGGTGTATGGTTACCTTTAAAACCCATACGAGTTTCGAAATCACAAAACAAACAAAATTATCGATGGAAATCGCCGACAGACCGATTGCTTTGCAAGTAAAAAGATTATGAACCCCACATTGGACACATTTTTTTTATGATCCTTGATAAGAACCTGGTGTCAGCAACAAGATTAAAATGATTACCAAACGCTTCGAAGATATTTTACTAGCGCAAAGTGTTTCAAAAAATTGTTTTTTTTTTTTAATTTTTGGTACAACGACAACAGAAATCGTGAGCTTTTCAAAAACCATTCTTGAGCATAAAAAATCGACCAAAAAATAAATCAAATAAATTCTCATGCACTCAACTCACCACTATTCTCAAATGGCAAACACATTTCCTCACCGCCAGTTGTTGTTGTTGCTGTTGCTGTTTGAATTGCTTGCGGCGTAATATTTTGTATACCCTGCTGCTGCTGCTGCTGCTGCTGTGTTGTTGGTGATTTCAGCGCAGTTATGGGCGTTTGTTGGTACTGCGTTACTGACGTCGTTTGACCCGAACCGCCCGTTGGTCCGCCCGAATTATCAGACTCCTCAATGCCTGCGTAGTAACCACTATTGCGTGGTCCAATACGACTCGCATTAAATACACCACCTTCCTCGGTGACGGTTATATGGAAATTTTGTTTAAAGCCGTGACGCGCATTATACGATGTACTGGAATAGGTGAGACCACTGCCGTGACCGCTCAACACCGGACCGGCTGAAATGTCGATTGTCGACTGGGGAACCGCGGCGGTGGGTTGACGCAATGTCAAATTGACTGAGGTGAAACTTTTCTGACTTGTTGGCGTACTTGCGCCACTACCGCCGCCACTGCCACCGGTTGTTGCTGGGCTTGTGGCTGTGCTAGTGCCTATTTTTGCGGCTGGAAGAAAATCACGCGTGTACGGCGGCTCTGGCTGTACGTTTATGACTGAGCGATGACGGATGGGTGAGCGTAGAGGCGATGAAGGTGGTTGTGGCTGTGGCTGTGGCTGTGCCGGCTGATAAGTTGGTGCGGTCGAGGCTGGAGTGTTATTATTTTGCCTATGTGCGAAAGCTTGCACTGACGAGCTAACAATATTCGATGATATTTCATTTTCGCCCGAGCACGAACTAATCGGACTCGCCAAGTTCGATTCGGTTGAGTAGCTTGTGCCGCTTTGTGATTGTGGTGAATTTCCACAACTGTTGTTATTGTTATTCCCGCTGTTGTTGTTGTTGTAGCCGATATTATTGTGAAATACAGGTTTCGGCGCAATCGGCGGCAGCGGCGCTTTACGTATTGGCTTCTGCAGCGGTAGATCTTGCTGTTGCTGCTGCTGCGGCTGATGTTTCAGCTGACTGCGTTGCTGTAAATGTTGTTGCAGTTGCTTATTCAACTGTTGACGCTGCAGCTGTTGCTGAGATGCTTGCAAATTAAGCGTATTGGGGCGCGCACGTTGACCTAAGGCGTCCAATTTAGCTGGCGACGTCGGTGGCGCCGGATTTGTGGCAACTCTATTGAGCTGAGCTATAAAATCACTCGTGCGCGCGCAATCAATCGACGCGTTCGCGGGTGCGTTTGCCGTTGCGGCCGCGGGCATATCACACGTGTTTTTCGAGCTAAACTCACTGACACTACTATTGTTGTTGCTATTGTCACTAGGGCTTTTGTTATCAATACACGGGTTATTGCACTGCGCACTATGCACACTCTGAACATCTTTCAATAAATTTCTATTATTATTTTGCAGTAACTCAACACTATCACATTGGTTTGGCGGTATAACCGAGCCGCTACTATTTGCGCCCGCACGTGTGCGCGCTGGCGATGGCAACTGCGATGGCGTTGTTGGCGCGGCGCGAATAGGACGCAAAGGCGTTGGCGGTTTTTGTGGCGACGCGTTTTTTTGCCGTTGCGGCGGTTGTGGGTGTGGCGGTGTGCGTAGACTATTTTTTCTCGGCTGTTGTTGTTGCTTTTGCTGTTGTTGCTGCTGCTGCAGTTGGTGATTGTGATTGTTGTGTTGTTGGTTGATGTTGAGTTGCTGCAAGACTTTCGCTGGATACGTTTGTACGGGTATTGGATTCAGCGCCAATTCATTCCTCAACATCTGTATACAATTCTCTCGCTGATGGCAATTCTCGTTCACACACTGTGCTACAATCGGATCGGGTATTGTGGGAAACTCCTGCTTCATCTCATGAAAGAGGTGCATAATACTTATATTCGTGCAATTACAAGTGGGACGTTGTACCGCGGCGGCTCCTTCGGCACTAGAGCTTCCAGCTGCTGCTGCTGCTGCTGCTGCTGTTGCTGTTGCTTCACTTTCGCTATCGTTGCTGATGTAATTTAAAAGATTGTCACGACTATTGTAGCGTCGTATACCCAGTTTGCTGTATTTTTCAGCGTTTGGTGGGGTGGAGGTAGGCGTTGCAGATGCTGTTCCTGCTGCTAAGGCGGCGGAAGTGCTTGCTTCGTTTTTGCTGTTGCCGTTACTATCGTCGACGCAGTCGTCGTCGACGTTGTTGTTGCTGTTGTTGTGCCTACTTTGCTTCAGAAAAGTAGCTGGCGGCTTCGGTGGTTTAGCCGCCATTTTTGGCCATCATTTGCCGTAAACACGCACCTGGAAGGAGAAGAAGGAGAGAGACAAATCAATAAAAGTCAGATGAGAGTGATTTCTTAATCATAATAAACAGAAAAACTAAATAATTTATAAAAATATATATATAAAAAAATCTTTTATGAAGACTAACAATGAGAAATGGTAGAGATTTGGCTTTCTAAAAAGTTCGCTTATAAACGTGAGGGGGATCAAACAATTATAAAAAATGTTAAAACAATAAAAAAAAATTAACTGAGTAAAATAGATTGAAAAAAGGAATTAAAAGAAAAATATAAATAAAATATATATATATTATATATTATATATTTTTTATTCTGTTTAATTTATATTTTGTTTATTTATTTTTTTACTCAATCAATTTGCTTTCATTTTATTCTACTTTTTTATTTGTTTATATTTTATTTATATTTTTCTTTTTATTTCTTTTTTCATTCTATTTTGCTCAGTTAATTTTTTTTATTGTTTAAACAATCTAATATAAATATTTTAAAAAATTAAATAATGAAAAATTAATATAAATTAAAAAAAATCTGTAAAACATTTAAAAAAAATTGCAGAATATATAAAGGGAAAAGTAATATATGTATAATAGGTAAAATAAACACATTAAAATAAAAAAAATAATTCAGACAAAATCTAAAAATAAAAGTAAATGTTAAAGTTTAAAAAAAATTAAATAATAAAGTATATAAATAATTAAAAAAATAATTAAGGTATTGTAATTGAGCAAAATTAAATAAAAATGTTTTAAATAAAAATATTAAATAAATAAATAGCATATAAATGAAAGTAAAGTAATAAATCAAATAATTAAAAATTATTATTAAATAAAATATCAAAAAATAAGATTAGATTAAATGAAACAAAAAGATAAAAAAGTATAATTTATAACAAAAATATAATAAATAAAATACAAGAAAATAAAAAAATTACATTTCAATACATAAAAATTAAGCAAATTAAAGAAAATCTAAAATCTTAAAATTATAGCATAAATTAATATGAAAAACTATATAAAAATAATATAAATTCCTTTAAATAAAATGAAATTAAATTAGAATAGAATAAAATTAAATACAAATAAGATTAACAAAAATGTTATAAATAAAAACATTAATATCAAAAATAAAGCAATAATGAAATCAATTAAAATCAAATAAACTTAAAAAATCATTTAATCCAAAAAAAAAAAAAAATAATAGAAAATGTTCAAAAATAAAAAATAAAAAGTAAACTTAAATAAGGAAATAAAAACAATAGGTTTTAATTTAAAATAATATAATGTAAAAATTAAATACAACAAAAAAATAATAATACAAAAAAAATAATAGGAAAAATAGATAAAATAAAATAAAATAAAATATATATATTGCTTACGGAAAGCGTCAGGTTGTTTTCGTTTTAATGTTCTATTAGATTTAATAATTACGTACACCCATTGACTAACACAACCTTTTTAAGTCTAGCTGGTCGCTTGAAGTAGCATAAAATAATAGATTTCGAACCATGATTGCGTGGTGGGAGGAATACATGATGTAATGCTTGTACATTTTTCTAGATACAACAGTTGGTTTCACATATGCATATCACCTCTTTGTTTTAAAGCACAGAATTAAAATTTAAAAATAAAAGATATAAATACAAACATGGAATTCTTTAGAAAATGATATTACAAGGAATTAGTCATTCCATGTAATCTTCTGACCATACACAATGCCTAAAAAATGAACCTTTAACATTTAATTAAATTAAAACAATGCACGGCTTTTAGAAAATAGCCAATATTGATTTTGAATTTGTCGAAGAAATTGTAAACAACTTTGCACTTGCTGCAACAGAAAATCAAGAAACATAAAACACACTGTGGAAAGGCTTACAGAAAGCAACGGAAAATGAAGGCAGAGCATGTGATTGTTATTTGTATCTCAAAAAAAGAAAAAAAAAAAATAACAATAATAATAACAATAGCACAATCAAATGCCTAAAAGTTCTCGCAACAACAACTGTTGTATAATACATAGATATTTTGTATTTGCCCAAGCAAAAGCAAAATTTATTTCACTTAAAGAATTAGCCCGCAAGTACTAAAAGTGATGTCGGAAGCCAAAATAGTATTTAAAAGTATAGAAAACAAAATGCTACTTAAAAATACAGGCGTTGGTGTGATTAAAAAAAATTCAAAAAATACATAATAACAAGTACTGTATAAAAAAATATTTAATGATGCGTGTGAACGAAAGGGAAAATACACATAAAAATGCGAAATTCATAATTTTTCTTACACCAAACCTAAATCGAAATTTAAGTATTTTCATAAGTAAATCCAGCAAACATCATTTGAATATATGTACTAGAAGATAATTAAAAAGATTTTCTGTTTTGTTTTGTTTGCTTGAATTTATTCATTTACCGTCGTATGTACCGCTATTTTGAAAAAAAAGAAAAAAATTATTTGGAAATGCCGTGGATTATTTTGCACAAAGTAGATGGTGGAATGACGTGCTAAACAATGCGGCGAAGGATAATAATAAATATGCATAAATACATACATACAAAGCTAAAACAGCAGAAAAAATGTATAAACAAATGACAGGAATATTTAAAAATATGTATGACATAAAATTCTAAAAACGATGGGAATAAGCGTTGAGGGCGAAGAAGAATTTGAAAAATATTAAATAGAATAAAATAAAATATCAAAATAAATAAAATGAAATGAAAAATAATAATTAAAATAACGTAAAAAACAAATTGAATAATGAAAAAAATAGTAAAAAAATAAAATCAAATTAAATAAATAAAGCAAATTAAAATGTTAAAATAAAACATTATATATAAAGTTTAAAAAATCAACCGCTGAATCGATTTTCGGCTGAGCTTCTTCTCCCATTTGTGGCTTTACGTCTTGATGTTTTTTCAACAAATTGAGGGACCTATAGTTTATACTAAGCCGCCTCTAAATGTCTGATGTTTTTTTTTGATGATGAGCTTTATTTCATGTTAGAAATACACTCGGAGTGCCGAGCAATTAGAAAATTTGGCTTGATATATTATTTATACTAATTTTTTAAACAATATATTATAAAAAAATGGAATTCGTTAAATATAATAAAACGAAATAAAATAAAATTTCTTTCATTAAATAAACTAAAATATAAAAAATAAACAAAACAAATAAAATCCAATATAAGATAATATAGAAAATTAAGTTAACATAAAATACGAAGATGTAAAAAACCAATAATAAAATAATTAAAATAAAATTATGTAAAAGAATGAAGAAAATAAAAGAGAACAAATTAAGCTAAAATAAATTCAAACGATTAAATTAAATTAAATAAAAATAATATATAAACAATTAAAGTGACAAAACTAAAATAAAATGGCATGTATAAAAATAAAATATATACAAAAAAATTTAATTAAAGTAAAATAATATAAAATTAAATTAATTAGGTTAAAATAAAGAGAAGCAAGAAAATATAATAAATAAATAAAATAATAAATGAATTGAAATGAAAAAAATAAACAAAATTAAATTAATTCTTAATACATAAATTAAATTAGTTAAATAAAATTAACTAAAACTAAACAATTTAAAAGAATAAGATAAAATAAATCAAATTAAATTAATAAAATATAAATACAAAAAAACTTAAAAAGAAATTAGTATGAATTAGCCCACATTAAAAATAAAAAGAATAATAAAAAAAAAATGACAGCGGCATATCGTGTAAATTAATACATAGAGCAGATCTATGCTTTCTTTTGAGCTGCCCTTCTATTTTGGATATTTGTTCATTAAATGTTGGGCAAAATAAATTTTTTTTATTATGAATACTTTTTTTCATTTATATTGCATTATTTTTCTAGTACTTTTTTAATGTTTTTCATTGATTTTTAAATATTCTTTTTTTTTATTTTTTCATTTTTTTTTAATATCTTATAGAAATATAATTTTTTCTTTCATATTTTTATTAACTTTCTGTTTTATATTATTATCTATTTTAATTTGATTTTTTTTTCATTTTTTCATTTTTTTTCTAATTTTGTATACTTTTTCATAACTTTTTCTAATATTTTGTATTTTTCATATTTCTGTATTTTTTACATTTTTTAATTTTAATTTTTTTTTATACATTTTAACAATTTTGTTTTATTTTAATGTATTTTTTGTTTTTATATTTTTCTTTTTTTATTCTAAAACATTGGTTTGTTATTGTCTATGTTTGTTACCTTACTTAATTTTTTTTTTACTTCAATTTTTAAATTTTATATTTTCGATTTTTTACATTTCTTTTTTTTTAATATATTTTATTTTAAAATTTATTAAACTTTTAAATATATTATATTTTTATGTATTTTATATTTTTATGTAATTAAATTTTTTGATTTTTTATCTTTTAAAATTTCTTACATTTTTATATTTTTTGTTATTATATATAGATTTTGTTATTTATATTTTATATTTTTTATTATCCATACTTTTTATGTTTTTATTTCAAATTTAAATTTTTTTTATTTTTCTTTTTGATATATATTTTTATTTCATAAGTAAATTTTTACTTCTTAATCTTTTATTTTAGCAAATTTTTTAAATACATTTTTTAACGAAAACTAATTTATTAAAAAAATATTCAATTAATACTACTCACATTTTTGTTTGAGTTCAAAAAGTTTTACAAGTATTTATCTATTGTCTATAAATTTTAGTTACTTTTTTTTTAAATCTATATTTCACAGCGATTTTTTTATTTCATTTTGATTTGCCTTTACTCTTCTTCTTCTTGAATATATTCCCACAAATTCTTAAAAAATTAATTCGAATTCGATACGATTCGTTCGATAAAATTCTGCACTCGACACTTATTTGAAGCAAGCAGCCGCACGGCAATCAATATGGGTTTTCCGGTTACGTTCAATAATTTAGTCATTTATTTATTTTATTTATTTTTTTTTTATGATTTAATTGAATTTATTTCACACAGTTACATACAAATAATTTTCACGTACATATGTAGATATTCATAAATTTTTCCCAAGCAAATCAGTTGAGACAATTCAATTAAAATAACAAAGTCACATACACACGCATATATATGTACATATACACGCTCAGCGCTAATGTAAAACCGCTACTAGTGATGTAGGCGAATTAATTAATCACTTTGCACTTTGAATTTTCACTTTTGCTTGCAGCGTGATGTGATTTGCATACATATAATATATTTAAGAGCACATATATATATATACATAAACGTATATGCATATATTATATTAACTTGCTAGCTTTGAAATTATAACATAGAATTATTGTTATTATAATTTTTTGTTTTTTTTTTTTAATTTTTCTTTGCTATTATTTTAGGTGCTTGGCGACACGCGAGAAGAAATATTTTTACTTTGTAATATTTTTTTTTCGTATACGTATTTTCTAATTAATAACACTGATTAGCTGTCTAAGATAAAGTTCGGGGTCACGGCTGAGTAGCGTGTGCCTTGGTCGCGAGCGTTTACTTTTTTATTTTTATTTAATTTTTTCAAATTTTATTTCACGTGTGTTCGTTTTAAATGCTGAATTTTGACTGAATTTCTGAGTTCGTTTGCTGCTTGCTCAACGCTAAGGCCTTAACCATGTGGCAATGCGCTTTCCCACAAACGCTCACACTTGCAATTAGATTGAATACATATTCAAAAGCAGTATGTGTAAATAAATTATTGAAATATACAAAAGCAAAAATAAAAGAAACGGAAAATAGTATGTACAGAAAATTAGCAGGAAAACCCAGTATTGCAAGCAAATAAGAAATGCCGAGAAGAGCGCTAAGCGTTGGCGAGCGAGCACCCACACAAATGTCGGAAAAATCAACAACAAGTGCAAGATAAGTGTAAGAGAGAGAGAGGGAGAGAAAGAGAAGAAGAAAGAGGAACATATATTGACTATATAATTCTTTTTTTTTCAAAAAAACTAATGAATCGAAAATAAATACAATGTTCTAAAAATGTTTATGTGTTAAGAGCTATTAAGGCGAGATAAGCTTTAAATACTCCGCAACAATAGTTTATCAGTTGATAGTTGATAAATTGAGTGCTGGAAATCAGTGATTCTTAGATTTCTTACATATTTATGTACTTTAATAACAATGTAAAAAGCTTTACTATTCATGTGTGTCCAACATGGCGTATGTGTAATATTTTGTGGGTGAATAACTGCGTAAATATCTTGACTAGTGGCAGGTTACGTATACGCCATGGGTATATCATGACATACTATAAAATGCAATAAAAACAAAAAAAAATTAATTCAAATAAAATAGAATAAAATTAAACAAAAATATTATAAAAATGATACGAAACAAAATAATATTTAATCTAATTAAATCAACTAAAATAAATTAAGGTAAAATATAAAATAGTAAAAAACAAATAAGATTAATAAAATAAAATAAAATGCAAAGGAACCAAAAATTACAGTATATTTAATAAATTATACAAAATAAAATTTAATGAAATCAAATTGAATGAAATAATATTTCAGTTTATAATATTTTACAATCCTTAAAAGTTCTATTTCGTGGTAACAAAAAAAAAATATTATTGTATAAAAAGTGAAATGCATACCAGAAACGTGTAATGAACTCTGTTTAAAATATATTTTTGGTGTTTGTTGCAAGAGATAATTATACATATATACACAACATACATATTCTTTACAAAGGAAGAAATGTACCTATACAAGAACATTTCTATTAAAATATGTATAAAAATACAAAAAAAAGACGATTATTTGAAAAACGGCGTAGGTGTTAAGAGATAAATAATAAACACGAAAACGTAGGATGTTGGCACATGAGCGCTTCTATGTATGTACATGTACATATTTACATAGGCAGCTTGCCTCAAATCATTCTAATATATAATAGGAAATATTGAAGTATTTATTTAAAACAAATATGCATATAATGTAAATATACTTTTAATTTTTTATTATTTTATTCTTTGAATTTTTTTTAATAATATTTTTTTTAATAATTTTTTTTAATTATATCATTTTGTTTTTTAATTACTTCATTTTTTTATTAAAGTATTTTTTTTTATTTTTCTTAAATTGTTTATTTTGTTTTATAATAATTCTAATTTTTTCTATTTAATTTAGTTTTTTAATTTTTTGTAATTTATTTATTTTTATTTATTTTTTTATTTATTTTGTTTACTTTAATTTTTTCATTATTTTATTTATTTTTTATTTTAAATTTTTAAATTTTTAATTATTTTAATTATTTTATTTATTGTATTTTTTATTTTTTTTTAATATTTTTTTATTTTTGTTTCCTAATTACTATATTTCTTTTTAATTTTTAATTTTTAATTATTTTATGTTTTTATTATTATTTATTTATTTTTTTAATTAAAACTAATTATTTTTTTATTTTATTTTTTTTTAATTTTATTTTTTATTTATTTATTTTATTTTTAATTTAATTTTTTTTTTCAAATTATTTTGAAATTATTTGATTACTTTTTATACTTCATATTTTTTTAATATAAATTTAAATTTTAATACTTTTAATAAGACATCAATAAAAAACTGTAAACCATTCTAAAATTGAATTTATATTTACAACTTAAAAGTTTTCAAAAGTGATTCTTGGATAGTTTTGAAATTTTATTAACAAGTTGAGAATTACAAAGTTCTCCAATATAATACCAATGAAATATTAAACCTATATAAATTTGCTATAAAACTAATTGACTGAAGTTGCAACACCTGAAGTGACAGCTGTTGAATTTGATTAAATTGTGTGACCACGAGCGTGTAAAAATGTGTGTGTGAAACTGTACAAAGTATATAAAAGAATTTTCGGCTGCTGTAATTTATGAATGAGTGCCTTCAAATACTACTGTACATATACGTTATAAATATATGTATTAGTTGAAAGCTCAGCCAAGCGAAAATCAAAAGGCGTGAGCTATAAATTAAAGTAGATATATTCGATTAGAAACGGTACGAAAATAGGTGGCTGCATGAAATAGATATTATATATATACAAATATATGCAAGCGAAACATTTTATAAGTATCTACATTTAAGTTTGTAATTAAAATCTCAAAAACATAACAAATTAAACATTTTCAAACGATTTTCAGGGTATAATTTTTTTTCCAACAATTCCCCCAAAGCCTTGGCATAAACTTTTCAAACTCATCAACATTGTTGCTATAAAATATCTGCAATTAATGCTAGCACCCTACTGATCTTATTACCTGTTCGTCTTCCTCTTTCCTCATATTATTATTATTATTGCTGGTTTTTGTTTTGTTTTCTTTCGAAATGCCCCATTAAATGCTGCGCAACATTAAGTTTCGAATATATTGTGCGATTTTCCAAATGGTAACATTATTTTTGACAGAAACGGCCGAAAAAATGGCGGCATTAATTACTTGAAAAAGTAAAATATTTTCGTTTCTGTATTTAAAGATTGATTTTAATATTAAAAAAAAAAAAAAGATTGTAGATAATTTTAGATGGGAATAGAAAAATAATAACAGTAATTTTTATTATAAATACGAGAATATTTAGAAATGCTCTTAGATAGAACCCATCTAAGCTAATAGTTAAAGCATTTAGAAAAACGTGGGTATTCAATGGGGATAGTTGTGAGATTCTTCTCATATTTAAAATATTTATTTGTTTAAATTTGGTCAGATAAAGATTTTTTAATATATATAAGTCATCATTTGCCGTAGAAAGGCTTGATCTTCATGTTGAGCACATATGGAAAGCAGAACATGTTGAAAAGCAGAGGATTTCCTTAAGAGGCCTCAGCGTGTTGATTAAAAACAGTTTTTCAAGGTTTGACGTTATCCCATTTTACTTAGGTTCTATTGCAAAACTAGATTTTCAACTAGCAGACCAGAAATGATACTATTTTTTGTCAATCTGTAGGTGGAGCCTTTCCCGTGAAGAGAGTATTACTTACATTTCGAACAAATCGAACTCCATTCCAGGTCTCTGCACCATTTCCAGGAAACAGAAGTATTCCACTTGGGCATTTCATTCAAACATTTATTCGAATCGAACCATAAATATATATTTATTTTTATTTGTTCGTCAACTTCTTGGGAAAAAAATTAATTTGGACTAAATAGAAACATGAATACGATTTTTTTTTCGAATAAATCTGATCCTTGTTTCACTTCTCAGAGAAAAATTAGTCTTAGTTAGCCAGTTTAAGCAAAAGTCACAAAGTAAATCTAACCAAAAATGAGTATTTTTCGAAAAGATCAATACCTGCCGGAGTGATAGATAAGTAGTCTTCTCCTACCCTAAGCAAGAAGCCATCCATGTACCGAAATTTACGTTAATCAAACCATTGTCTTCGATTGTTCTTATAGTTGTTCAGCGTCAGTTCCGAATACCAAGTGCAGGCAAGTCCCTCTCCATCTGATATTACCAACGGAGTTGGAATTTTCCTTCTCCTCCGATTTTACGAACGAATGCGTCGCGTTACCCTCTGCAACTCTCGATATATTAGGTCAAGAAAAAAGTTCGTTCGGTTTTTATCTAAGAGATGGCGTTATTGTCCATATTACTAGTGTTACGAGTCGCAGGTCGCTGAAGCCGTGTTTATTCGCGCTAAGAGCTTGTTTTTGACAGTTTTTCGGTTGATTGACTCGGTGGGTTGTGAGCGCCAGCAAAGAGAAAATTCGCTATATTTTACAATTTTTCTTCGATCAAGACGAAAAAGCAGCCAAAGCGGCTGAAAAAATTTATTTAGTTTATGGACCCGATACTGTTAACGAACGTGTAGCACAAAAGTGGTTTTCCAGGTTCCGTTCCGGTAATTTCGATGTCAAAGATGCACCAGATTTTGCTGTGTGTTTGGTGTGAATGGCAAGGAATCATCTACTACGAGCTGCTCCCCTAAGGCCAAACGCTTAATTCGGTCCTCTACTGCTAACAACTGGACCGCTTGAAGGCAGAACTCATGCAGAAGTGG